ATTATACTCACATTGAAGTCTCCGGACCAATTCTCAAGTTCGGTGAGTCGCATACAGAGGTCAGAAAACCAGGCAGCAAGTCCAAGCAAGCTTGGATATGCGAGTTTTGTCCATGATTCAGGCACATGATCCATGAACAGTGACTCCATCAAATTTTCCATATCGCTACTGATTGTTAGTTCACCCTATGTTTGAAAACTCATTTGTGGAAAAGAATATTATGTAAACATTTATTTTTACAATTATATTTACAATATTGACAAGAAAAATATAAACAAAATAATCAAATGTAGCTTTGTAATCTATGGATATACCTTCAAACCGAGTTCGAGTTCCTTTAAAGACCTACGAATCTCTCCCATGAGCTTATTCATACGTTCGCATTCCTGCAGAGCCACGATGGTAAATGGAGTTAATTCCTCCACTTTGCCCATTAGCTCTTGCAAATTGAATGGTTCCGGGACTCTATCTAAAATGTCGTCTAATTGGTATCGAACCTATAATAAAAAGTTGATATGACTATGAATATCGTGTTGACACGTCGGCGGTTAATATCATTTTCTTAACAGTAAACTACAGTACAGATGATAACATACCATTTCTTCTTTGGTGGCACCACCACCAGCTTGTGCTCCACTATCCCGAGGTTGCATTTCAAATACCACCTTTAAGTATAATACAGTTAATATTTTTTCTTTCAGATAACATAAGTACGAGTAATATTATAACAATGAAATAATCCAGCTTTTCTATCCACTATTTTCTATATTTTGATTACCTTGAAGAGCCTCTGCGATACTGTGGTCAAATATCCTATCTCAGCGTTCGGATGAAGACCATATAAATAGGGCGTTTCATCAGGTAAATAGTCGTCTATATACGCATGATATCCTACATAATCGGAATTTGGTGGTGATATAAAACCTGGCGCTAATTGACATTCGCCATCGACCTATAAAATGTAATACAGAAGATATTATTCCATTAAATATCCTGCTATAATCGCGATTTCATTCGGTAATTGTTACTGTAAATGTTTTGTACGAGTTCGAAATTGTATTCGTTTCTCTGAATTTTCTGTTATTTTTTTTATCCGGTCCTTAAATGTTTTGAATTACTGATATCACAAATGGAGAGGATATCAATTTGACTCATATGTATGTAATATTGTTCGAATTGTACTTTTATCAGTCTATTTAATTATTATACTATATATATTAATAATTGTCAAAAATTTCTTAAGCATACATTCAAGTATGTATGTTTGTTTTTCTGCGTGTTTCTCGCAAATTATATCCTCCACAAAACCCCCGCCTGACTTCAATCAATAGAAGATTTTTGAATTATCTTCCATGTTGATTAAGGTTTCGGACTCCAGTTTAATTTAAAAATATCAAACACCTTAAAGTCAAAGCAAAAGCAAACTTGGCTAATTAATTAACATTTGAATATTAAAAATGAATTATCATTCACCAGTTCAGGTTGCATATACTCGATCAGGAATGTACGACAGAGACGACGATCCCAGTCATCGGTGATATGCCCACCATACATGATCTCACCGAACAAATAGCGAAGGTCTTCCCACGGCACACGCGGGTTTGCTTCCAGATAATTGTATAGCACATACACGCAGATGGTTAGGTCGCCGAAGTTGAATGGGTAAACCCTATTTGGATTATTTTATTTTATTTCATAGATAATTGTCATTTGATTAATCGAAATGGATCAAAATCAGGATCAAAACAAGAAAAATGATAATGATATACTTTCATGCAGAATATTTTTACCAATTCATTACATTCAGAGTTAAGAGAAACTTTTGATACCACCGTCATGCAGGGCTCCTCGATAGCTTACATACCTATTCCATCCTTGAGGACCGAATTTACGCCTTTCTGCAACTACAGCATGGAAGTAACAAAGTGCAAATAATACAGATTTGAATTCTGCCTCCTTGCTACACATTTCCATAGTTTCCTGATTGAAATTATCTAAAGCCTGAAACAAATTCATTGAAAATTTAAGGTTAATACGCTCAATGAACTGATATATCGTCCGTTGAGTTTTCAAGGTTGAACGAATATTTCATACCTTGTGTAAATTAGCCCACATGCCGCTTGGTGGCTCATTAGTAATTTTGATAGCGGACTCCAAGATCCCTTGAGGAATAATATGGTATTCAGCGCTTGGTGCTGGTTCAGCACTAAAGAATAACCTAAAATAATAATATGTTTTTTAACATCATCTCATAATCATGAAGCAATCAAATTATTTATTCAGTTATTGGCAATAATTAAACGGCAATGGATCCTCATTAAATTATAATTTAATATACCTATGGGTATACCATACCATATTATAAATGAATAAAAAACATACATAACTGTTGTATTCAAGTTAATTGAAAAAAAAACAAAATATAGTGTACAAAACGCTTATATGTTCTTTATTGGTAAGGCCGTTAGTATAAAATATTAATTTAATCTTAAGCATAATTAAATGTTTAATTTTTCGAAAAAAAATATTACTATGGCCATTACCATTTTCCACTGATAAGCAACATATTCGATTATGGAGATACTGCGACGAGCACATTTAAAGCAATTTAGTCTGGTAGCTGACATTAAGTCTAGGGGGTGTAAACATACATTCGGAGGTTTTAATCTCTAAGTTCGGAGGACCCAGCCGTTAAATAATCAATTTACAATTATAGGGTACAATTTATTAGTACATACTTATAATAACGGGTATAAGACGCGATTGTAATAATGCAGCGCGATAGTTTAAAAGTGAATAATTTATTAGTAATTACATAAAATTGTTTTGAAACATCTTTTTGCACTAATTAATATAATTAACAATTGTTTCATATTTTAAATAGAGTTTGTTTTTGCGAGTCCAGTGATTTAATGAGTGAATTTTTGCTGGACAGGAATAAATGAATAATCAATAAATAGTTTTTAAAGCAATTTAATCATAAAATTATACTATAAAATGATTATAGTAATATATCTAAATATGCATGTTGTAAGAAGACCCGTTATTCCCACCCCGCCCGCGATTCAGCGTCAATTATAATAATGGAAATGTTTTTGAACTTTCAAAGGATTAACTATAGTTTTTGTGTAATGCAAGCTCAGATGCCGAGTATGACGAGATGCAAGAGACTACGAAGAATTCAAATCTTAATAAAAATATATATAAACTACACAAGATTAACCATTCAAAATTTGAATTTCTATTTAATATTTGTGAAACGTTTCCCTCTAGTATGTCTGATATAAAATGATATAGTAATAAAATTTATTACCTAAGCGTTACGTGTTTTGTGAAAACGTTTCATTAATTACCTATATTCTGGCAAAGGGTTTTCAAATGACTCTTCCATCTTCTTCTCGAGTGTAGCAAGCCACTTGGCGACTAAGTGTATGTTCTGCAAAATTACCCAGTGGCCATTGACGCAGGCGATAGCCATTGCTTCCTCGGCCACCACTTCTTGCCCTTGGCCAAGAGATACAATGTGGAAATTCTTTTTGTCAGTTGAGAAGCCTAATTTACGTCCTAACTTCTCAAGGTCCTGTAATAAGAATTCAAAAATTAATTTAAGTAAATTGATACCTACTGATCCTTATTCATCTTCAAATTATGAATTTGTTACTATAAATTATTAAGGATGTCTCACCTTCAAAGGATCTACTCCTGGTGATAATATGAAGAACATAGGTGTTGTGGATGTGCTCTCCGCAAAGGACACTTCTAATGGTGGAGTTCTCGCCTCTACATACTTTGTACCAAGGTTCTCTTCACAGAAAGCGCTGTGATAAACAAAATATTATTGGTCCATTCCGCTACTAATACGAAACTTATAATTATTGTTTTGTTATACATATCTCTGATCACGTCGTTCAAATGTTACTTTCAGTTTGAATGAAAAAAAAAATGTACTGATAACTATACGACGCTTATACATTGCTTATTGGTAAGGCCGTAATATGTAAAGTAACACAAATGAATAAAAATTTACTCAACACCTTAGTCAACTTAACTTTTCTGTTGGCGAATATTTATCAGTCTCTTTTGATTAAGTCGTGTTTTATAGTTTATAATACACTTCTTGATTATTAGATTTTAATGAGTTTTAACTGTTTCGTTTTTGTTACGTTTTAGGCAGTTCTAGAACGCCGTAAGATAAAATTATAAAAACCTGATCTCTTGTTTTGTTATACGGGCAATAAAAAATACCATATTAATTTTAAGTTATTTAAAATAATATCAATTATTTTTAGGACTTTTAACTGTTTTTTATGAAAATCTTGAAATTAAATGCCCTCGAATCCTTATGGCAAAAATGTGAGAAGAGGTGATTTTAGAGAGGTCAATTGTGTCAAGTCGATGATCATTATTATAATGTTAAAAATGTTTTACCTAAAACCGTTAATTTTAACCGGATTCAGAGGTATAAATCTTATGGCAACCCGTTATAATAATCCTTCATAACTTCGGTAATATTATCTTTAATTTTAAAATAAAGACTCCACTCGAGCTGTCCTTTACAGTGTAGTTTTTTTTTTGTATATTACGGATCTGCGTCATTGTGCCTTTTTTTCCATAACACAATTTCTTTCAGTGCTATATGGTTATGTTATTGTTATCGAAATATATTTACCCAGAAGCATACGACATGCGGTCAGGGCGTAACGCCCGCATGATGCATAACCGTTGCAAAGGTGTTTTATTCTTCCATTCGCCTGGTAACTTGTCTCTTTCTGGTGCTTCTCCATCTGTATACTTTTGCCATCTGTGAATAATATATGTTATATATTACTCAATATTTTATTTTACTTGTATACTTTTACTGGACCATAAAATCGCTGAAACGCTTGAAATCGGTAGCTACATAAAGTTCATACACAATATTTGGTTAAGGCAAGATTGCTTATATCTTAGGATTACAAGGAATTACAGATTGCAAACTCCTATACAATAAGAAGCGCATTTCAAGCTGTAATAAGTAACTGGTAATTAAGTTGGCTTGTATTATCGCTTTGTTGGTTACCTAACCATCATCGTTAGCCTACTGATGTCCACATTGCTGGGACATAAGTATAGTTTTCCTTGTGGATAAAATAACATAGGGAGATTGGCCATAGCATTTGATAGGCTATTTAGCCTTAACTAGCTGGGATCGACAGATTATCATACTCTCCGAAATACGGAGAGCATGATATAATAAATTTTTGGTCACCCATCTGATGACAGGTCTTTGCAAAAGTTACTTAACCAACACAATTGCAGACTGAACGCCAAAACCACTGCGCCATTGAACTCCTCAACCTAATACCACTTGATGAAATTGGGCCGATAGTGTACCTCTTAGTGGCACCCTCAATATCCTTGTCAAGGTTTTCGAAAGCATCCATCTTGGAAAGTGTAATCACTCCGCCCCAAGAGTTGTTCGTGAGCCAACTGTATGGAGATGGTTCGGGTGCTACTGCGTATTTAAGTAAAAAGTCGAGTTCCCGTGGGTCTACTTTGCCTTCAGATTGCAGAATCTATGAATTTCACAATAAGCTACTAATAGCATATTATTCTAAATTGTACACATTATACATATCACATTAAATGTGGTGTACCAACCTGTATTGTAATTAAAAACAAGAATACCAGTTTATCTCTTTCGAATAGCCCTCTGCTTGTATATACAAAAACGGCAAATGTAATGCTATCAAGCAAATTTCGTACTCTTCCCTCTAACTCGTCAGCGGGAACCGCCTTAGACAAGGCGTCCTTGAAAACAACACTGTAAGCTTTCAGAGAAAACTGGTACATCGAGTTGATACGGTTTATGTCATTTAGGATGAAGTACAATAATGATGCACGAGCAGCGGCTCGTCTGAAACAGATTAAACAGTTTCGGTTATAATCTACTTTAAAACTATAATATAGGTGTTTTCGTGCGATTGCGCATGCGTAAATTATAGCCTATGTCATCAGCATATTGTGATTTCTCGTAGGTTGAAGAATTTTTATAATCAGAGTATCGCTTTGGGAGCATATTTAATGCAAAGAAACAAACAATGTTATCTTCTCTCTTATGTTATTAGTACATATGGTGGCTACTAACCTGTATCTTTCTCTAGCCTCATCAATCTTTACTGCAGTAATTTTACCCTCTTCTACCTTAATTTCAATGTCTGCGGCTGTTTTTTTAGTGGTCTCCAAATTTATTACTAAAGCCGAATCGCTTAGAATATCCGGTCCAGCGGAGGACAATCGTTTTAACAAATCGTCTTCTAAGGTCTTCAATGTGATTTTAAAATCATTTTGTTGTTTTGTTAATCCTGCTCGCAAACTCTCCAAATCTGGTCTTTCAGCTTTTACTACTTCACCAAGTAATTGTTCTTCTAAGCTATAAATCATAGTTGTGATGCATACATTAGTTTAAAATAACTTTGATAAAATACCTAATCAAAAATAAAATGTTCTGTATTATATTACCCGTCTCTAGTAACAGTGAAGTTAATAAGTGTACATTGTGCCTGCATTTCTGGCTGATAGTGAGGGTTTGCCAGTTTAGTTTGCATTATTAGTCGAAATTGGGGATTATAATCTATCTCTCGATCTCCAATCTACAAAAGTTAATAAGCACTATTTACGACCATGTTATTAAAGAAAAAATAAAAATACTATAATGATGCTTTTCAGATAGAGTGATACAATAGTGCTTGACTTGGCCTACAACCTTAAGAACTTTCCCTTTGCGAATGAGGACACGACCTAGCAATGGTTCTAGCACGGCATCGACGCTCTCGCCGATATTCTCGAGCATCACCACATTGCCGTTATTAACAGCACGCTCAATGCGATCCAAGTAGTTGCGTTGTGTCAAACGGATTGTCACGAGCGCATCGCCATACCTGGACTTAATCCATTTGATGCCTTGGCTAAAAATGAATATCAGCTTCTGATTATGTCAAATTCAATAATCTGTTCTACATTGTGTACTTCTGTATGATATAATACCATTTTATTATTGTGTAGTTACGTGTAAATGAAACTAACTACGGACCTACACGGACTGAACTATGACTGAATCTATTAGGTTCCCGTTGATATATCAGAATATGACAATATCTTTGTATAAAGTACGCAGATACAGATATTCATTAATTATTTTACTCAATGAGAAACTTAAAAATTATATTTGCAAATGAAACTTAAGATTACTAATAATCCATTGACCGAGTCAATGTTATGATGTATGAAAATTTGGCCTTACAGCTGTGGGTCTATCATGAGCGGCCACCGTGCTGAGTTGGTGAGGATGGTAGCATTTTCAGTGCTCATGGTATCAGTTGGTAACCCCTCGTTATTCCATACAGCAACTTGGGCATCGTCAGTTAACATCGACAGAGGATCCAAACCCTCTGTCGTTTCAATTTTTGGCTGCAGATAGAATTGTTTTACGTTACGGGTCTGTTGTTATTAAATATTATTCCTGGATTTAATCGTCAAAAAATGCAACAATGAAATATGGAGTTTTTATACGAATCTATGAAGCTAAAATTTACAAGTAATCATGCGAATGACGACTCGGGCACTTGGGACTGGAAATTTTCGTTCAATAAGATGAAATATCACTATAGCATCAAACTTTATCAAAAAATTTAATATATTTTTACATTTACAAGTTGAAGTATTTTTTGATCAATTTTGCAGTCGCAATGCTACATTATTTAAGCGCTGTTTCTATGATATCTTAGCGCTGTTTCTAGTATTATTATCAATAGTCTTTTGTTATAATTACGTTAGTTTTTGCCAGCATTGGAACCCAATCTTCGTTCATAAGTTGCTGTCTATAAGCACGCATGAAGCAGCCGACATACGAAATAAACGCAGTCACGAGTAGCACATCGCCAGGCAGCATGACCCCTGACTCCTTTAGGTTCACCACTGTCGCTGACCATCTATATATAGTTATCATATTATACAATAAATATTTTATTTTTTAGACTATAATATAAAACATTTCGTACTGCATAAATTAGTAATTTTCGTAACCTGATTTTTTCAGATGCTAATCCGTTGACGAGTCTGTTAGCTAAATCAATAGTAGCATTTGTCGCGTCAGCTTCTGCTTGGCACTTCATTTTTTCATTCACTGCTTCCTGGAATGCTTTCAGCAAAACTTCCAATTTCTCCTCTAATTCCTATTAAAATGAAAATTATAATATTTACCAGATAAAATAATAACCTGAAACCCTGGTTTCTAAATTATGTGAATTTGTAACATGTTTACACTATGCCTCAGCAATTAGTATAATTATTGCAAATTTAAACAATGTTTTAGTTTTCATTTTTTAATATAAACGCATTTTCTGTTTGAGGTGTATAAGTATGTGAGTTATTTCTATAATACTTATTTCTATTATTTCTATTATAGTATAATAATAATGTAAAATCTAAGATATGTCTTTTCTAATTTGTATCAGTGTATGTCGTAACTAACCTTGATCTGATCAGTCAGAAAGGCAAGTTTGTCTCTAGCGGCCTGCAATTCGGCATTTGCAGCATTTAGCGCGCGTCTTTTCGGCTCAACTACCACATATACATCATAAAACTTGGCTATGTTGATGACCCACGAGCAAAGTCCGGCAGCCGCAGCCGACTTTGACATTATAAACTCGGCATTGAACTCTGGATTTTTGATGTAAGGTTGTACCGCCTGGAAAACAGAAGACGGCGTTTAAAAAAAAAACTACCACTATATTCCAGACATATCGTACGACATCAAAACAAGATTTTAAAAACATCTTTACGACGACTTATTTAATTACCTTAATGACATCTGGATGAATATTTTCTTTATCGTAGTATACTAAATCATTCAAAAACTGATCCACTTTAGCCATCATTAACTGTAAAGCAACAATATAAATCATAATATAACCAGAAACAATGAAGTAAACATATACTAGACGTGGTTTTCGTACAAAGACATATTTTCATAAGTTTTATATTTATAATATAGGTAAATGTAAAATTTCATAACCAACCTTACAGGCCTTCCATGATCTATCTTTTGGTATCTTTCCTTTTTTGGAGAACAGTACCAGTACAGCTGCTGTTACATTGACTACAGCGTCTGGTGGAGACCCGAAAGATTTTAGCTCAGTCAAATTATTCTTGTTCAAAGTGTTCAGCGCTTCTTGTGCTGCAATCAATGCCGGCTCAGCCTTAGCCAGATCATCTGCACAGATCTTGGCTTTGATTGTGACGTCCTCTTCTATTACTTTTACTTTCTTTTCCTCCTCGGCCGCTAATTGCGAGAAATATTTATAAGTCCTTGTTATAGCCCTTATTTAAAGGTTTGTTAGTCACTATTTTGGAACAAACTACCTATTTTTAAAATAATGTCATACCAAAAGCTTTCTCCTTGGACACCTTTTCACTCTCAGCTCCCACTACTTCAATGAGTTCTTCAGCTGCTTTGTTCTTTATCTTTAATTCGATTTCTTGTTCTGCTAAAGTAACCTATGAGATAAAAATATGCAAATTTTAGAATGTTTAAAAAAATATACCTTCATATAGTCTCAGGTAGAATACCAGACTCAGGTGTAAAGCATTGTGTCTCTACGCGTAGAGTAAGGAAGCGGCTCGTTCTATTTCCACGATACACAGCGCGAGAAGAGGCAAATATAATCAGTTCGATGCTTATACTTTTACGTTGAGATAAAAATTGTTTGAATATGTATTTTATTTCGCAAGGGTTGGTCACGGGATGGGTAAACATAAAAAAATATCACAAACTATTCCATGCTTCGGAAGGCACGTTAAGCCGTTGGGAAATAAAGGGACTGATTATGAATGTATTTAATATCAAATACGGTCATGTAATATCTTTAAATTACCTTCAATACAGCCACGTCAGCCGCACACGATGCTAATTTCTCTAATCCGTTTTCTAGTCTCGCAATCATCATTATCAGGTTCTTGGTCTTTTCGTTAAGAAGTTTCGAATATAGTGTGATTTGTTCGAGGAATGTTTTAGGCGTGGTATAATTGTAACGTCTCTCGTTTTGAAAGTATACTGCTGACATGCGATTTACACTCTGATGAACGTGTGACATGAATACCGCTACCGGCTCCACTAAACTAGCCTAAACACAGGATACCATTTGAATTAAAAATTGATGCATGATATAATAAAAATTCTTATGCTTCATGAAATTTTAATAATCTCGTACATTCCAATTATAGTTGATAATGATATTTGTCTATACATATATATTAAAATCATTAAACGTACGGGTAACGACTCAACCTCTGCAATGAATCTTTTGGACACAGAACGCAGAGCCTCTTGCGGCCACTCGTGAAACCAGTTTATGGCAGTACAATTCACTATTGAAGGGAATTTTCGAGCTCGTATACGCAAAGTTGCTCCCACCGGTGAGAAACATAAAACCACCTATATAAACATATTAGCAATTTAATTTAATTATTCATAACTAAATAATACATAACTATAGGTATTGTTTTAAAAAAATATATACATATTTTGTTATTACTTCAATGCACTAGAAATTCACGTATTTAGAATTTTATTTCTGCCGAAAGCGATTTTAGTAGGCATAGAGTAAGTTATATTTTAATGTTTATTTTAAGAGTACTAAACAAACTGTAGGTATATTGCTAAAAATCGGTCACCAACTTCCGGATACTAGGGATTTAATAATTAGACACATTTTTAAGTTGTCTCTTTTCTTTTTTTTCGATGTTAATAGGTTAAAACTCTTTTTTACTCTTTAAAAAGGCGTGAATCTGATTTACCGTAACAAGCTTGTGCAGTAATTATATTTTTTCCTATACAAATTATTCACTTACCTTTAACATAGTACGGACGCGATTAATAAAGAATCTCCAGCAGTTTTCACGTGTATCCGGTACACCGGAAGCTTTTGTCTATGGAACCAATAATTTATTTAATGTAAATGGATAAAACTATATGAACGTTTCTGAACAGGTACATATTCCATTTATATTTGAAAAATTCTTACAGCCTCATAGGAAACAATCAATCTTGAAAAGTATGTAAATTACCTCTCCTCTAACGCCGTTGATTATGTTTTCAATCTCATCATCAGCGAACAACTCTGGTATTTCACCAGATGCCAAAAGATCATTGATGAGTACCAGGAATCGTTCTTCAGCTACCTGTGCATCCGTCATCAAGAATATGTTGCCGATATTCTTTAAGCCAGCCTTCATGTACAAGCCAGCTATAAGACAAATATGACAACCATTGGGATTGTTTTTAGAACCTTAGAATACTGATTTATTAATTGAATACTCAAGAACATAGATTAAGATAAGATACTAGGATTAAGTTGTTTAATATTATTATATTAATGAAACATTAACATTTAAAAATTTATTATTACCTAAATCCAATTTAAGATCATTAATGCCATATCCCTTTCTGAGTTGTAGTTGGAATACTTCTAAGGAAGAAATAAAAGCAGAAAGACGTGATAGTGACTGTTTACCAGATCCGCCCACGCCCACCAATAAAGCATTACCCCGGGGTGCCTCCAAAATGCGATTAATCCTGTAAATAATTAAAGTTTATTCTTCCCAAAAAAGTACCTACATAATTACAAATCTGGAAAATCTAACCTGCAGATATGATACATAGCATCCTCGAACAAAACTAAATTCATCGTAGCAACCAAGTCATTGTAACCCGAAAGAGATTCATCCAATAGCTTTTTGATCTGAGGCCAGTCTTTGATAGGGAAATACTTTGGGTCACCGATGCCCTCAGCAAAATGACAGTATATCAAAGGTTTCTCAAAGACAACATTTTCATCAAAATCCTGAAGCATTATAACATATACTTTGACTAAATGCATATATGATATAGCTGTATTTCTTTACATATATTTTTTATTATGTTTCACTTCAAACAGTGCTACATACCTCGCAATTCTTTTTAATTACTTCCGTGATAAGTTTACTAAAGTTTTCATTGTCAGAAGAATCTACAAGTTTATCGGAGTAAACACGTGTAGCTTCATGCATCCATAATCTTATTAACTCTGACTGCTGCTTAATGGCGTCCCCGGTAGTAAACAAAATCCCCTGAGTGAAAAATACGCAATTTAAATAGAAATCCCTATGCAAAATAAATAGTACAAACAGCAATACGATAAAAATAAAAAAAGCTTCAACGATAAATATTAAACCTGGAAAATATTGGACAGATCCCTTAAGTTGAATATGTAATGGAATTTGATGGCGGTCGGTAAGAACACGCTAGACAACTTATTGTGGAGAGCCAGAGCTGCGTTGACCAAAGGCTCTGCATATCTTATGACCGCAACGCCGAACTTATTTAATGGGTTAGCCAAATGTTGGGACAATATTTGCTTGTAGATATGGAAACAAGCGTCCAGACCTGGGAAACTATAACAAAACATCATCATCGTCTCAAGATTGGTTCACAAACGAAAATATATAAAAATCAAGAAAAATACTATTATAAAATGAAAAGCATTTAATATATTATAAAATGTTTCTTAGTTCACATTGATTGTATGGTTTTCAACAGATATAATCTTACCTTACAGCAAACGTACAGAAATGTCTTTGTAAACGGGAGTCAATCGTGAAGGAGCCAGCGGTAGGATTCATACACGAGACAAACATACAGTTTGATATTTCTTTTAAACTTAATTTCTGTCTATCGTACCTGCATTCGTAAAATAGAAATACGAGTATTATTTTACAAACCTATGTCTACTGTAACATCATCATTTTTTCCTGGATAGATAAATACGTAATGTAAAAAGTAATAATACAATTTTTTCTCAAGGTTTAAGGTAATTACCAATGTTTATAATCCATAAATTGTCTAATAAGCGTATGTGGTTGTACAGTGCCATATTTGTCTACTTCTGGCATGTTCATATCATCGACGAAGTAAATCATAAATTTGCTACCTGGAGGACCAAAATTGCGACCAGACTTCTTTTCAAGAGGTTTTTCTAAAACTTTTTGGATCATTTCTGGAATGATAAGAAACTACTAAATTAAAGAGTAGATTTAGAAGAATACTAACTATTAATTAATTTAACTTTTTAATTTTGATGATACTCGTACTATTTACATACATATCACCATATGTTCGCACTGCTGGAGCTTCCATATTGATGAACTACACTACAAATTAGAAATGCAGTTTTACTAATGGATTAACGTGCCTTCCGAAGCATAGAGGAGCATAATTAATTTATGGTCATCCATTCTATGATCAGTTCTAGCGAAGGATGACTAACTTCCGCATCCCACATCCATGCACGTGTTATCAAAATAGTAAAATTACTTATTATTATTTAACCTTTATTATTATTATTGAGTAATACGACTCACCAGACGTTGTATAAAAGTTCAGCGGCGCATTGGCTATTGCGAAGGAGTCTGGTAGAGCGTTCAGCTTGGCGGCGACACTCACAGTTTTGCCACTACCAGCACTGCCCACTAACATCACAGGCTTTTGCTTGGCAATCAAAAGGTCCATAAAGAATCTGATACGGGTTGTCTCTGAAGTAGAAACTAAACACGACTGAAACATAAAGAGACCTTTTAAGAACTTTAATATTAAACCGTGTCATTTCATGACAACGTATCAAATACGAAAACAAACGATACGGTTTCCTTTTTACATTTTTCCTTTACTGTCTGCGTAAGTATGTAATAATTATTAACGAAGGAGGAGTGGTCTGGCAAAAAATTTCACTGGCCACTTATTGTTGCTAGATTCTTATAAATAAAACCTAAGGTGATAATTTATAATAATGAACGTATTCTCACTTGTAAAGGTATATCGGGATCCAATTCAAAGTTCTCCACTTTCTCAGACCAGGGTAAAAATTTCTTTGTTTCAGGATCAATAAAAAAGCTGAACACGTTGCCAGTGGAAGGGAATTTAATTTGCTTGAACTCGTTACAGAACCATTTACTAAATTCATTTCGCCAATCAACGAGTTGATCTTGGAATAGCGCTGACCCAAAACCCCAGACAATGCAGAAAACGAAGTATGTCTCATACCTGAATAAACAATTATTGAGTAATTTGTAATTTTTTCGGAATAAATTAATAACATAACCTTTTTGCTGGCTCGTATCGGACAAGAAGGAATCCGATCGAAAAATATCACTTATGTTTGAACTCGACTACGAACATGTTAAAGACAACAACGTGCCTAGTTCCGAAATTGTATTAATTTATAACTTACCATTCTTTAGGACATTCACTAGGTAATAAAGATTTATTTAGGAAACATTCCAGTAAATAGCAAGTAAGTTGTATCTGCTGCAATTCCGTCAATGGAGTGATTTTCTTATATTTTTTACACGACTCCAATAGCGAAGGTATATATTTGTCAAAAAATACTGTCAACATAGCTTTTTCTGATTCATCATCTCTGGTCGTTTCAATCCATGATGCTACGAATCTGAAATTTAGTTCGGATTTTTATTTAATATGTTTTCCTTGCTGCGCATCCATGTTTTATCATCTAGTGATTATAATAGGAAATAGGCAGCATTGTAGAGAATCAAATTATGTCTATATGTCGCAAAGATGTGATTAAATCAGCCGTCCAAATTTAAACATAAACACTCCGCATCACTTGCAATCGAACCTGATTGTCACGCACGACGCGACATGACGTCATCGCATAGCGCGCAAAGAAACGCAAATTAATTAAGGCGATGAAAATTTACAACGCTGTAACTTCGGTAACCCTTCGATGAAACAAAAACAAATATTGAAGTATATTTCATAGTAATGTTTTGATGTGCTGGTGTGACTCATTGAACGGAGCCATTCAATTGCACGACTAGTTTTCTAGGTGAATTATTATGACATCACTAAAATAACTTCATTATTTATATATTTTTTTTGTTATTAACTTTTGTAGCTTCGAACTTCGACACCGTAATTGCTTACAATTTTCGATAGATTGCGCTGTGGCCGTCTGAATTGGTGCTTATCTGGTCTGCATTAGTATTAATAATTATTATGAAAGTTTAAGTTTCACTCGCTTGTATTATTTTATATGTAACGTTACCATCATGTATTGGATCATACGGACCATTAACATCCAGTCGCGAATAAGCAGTTTTTTTATCATATTTTTGGTCGTATCTGTATAGATCAGGTCAGACAGATCGTAACAAATAATTTTTGAGTTTATTTATTTAGAAGATAGGAAAAAAGCAAATATTTTTCTTGAGTTTCCTACTTTATAGATATGCTGATAACAGAAATCATCGGTGTGACTCATTAAATGGTTAGCCGCGCAATTGAACGGCTAATCTAACCAGTTGGCTGCGACATAATATATATAAAATAATTTAGAGTAGATTTTTTCAAAGTAACTTACGGATTCCATCCCAAGTCTTGTGGATTTATATACAAAATACCAGCACGCGAAACCGTAGCTGGTGTAGCGGTACGCAAGTTTGAAATCTCGAATAGTAGCCTCATAGATTTTGTCAAAGCTATTCGTTCATTGCTAGCCAAAGTCAGAACCTAAAACGAGAAATTGAATATGTTGATCTCTATGACTTTCGATTACCGACGCTTCAATTGCAGGGCTATTATGTTATTTTTGAAGAGTGACCGTTTTAAGATGTTTAATTTAATTGCTTATCGCATGATACTTTATAACATAGTATTATGGAGACACAAGAATAATTTAAAATAAATGGGTATATTATTGTAATCGTTATTTATACAAAAGTGAACTTATTTTTTTATTTACATTACAGTAAATTTGCTATTCAGTCTCTGCTACTCGTAGACCAATCAATTTTAAGTAACAACTTGAAAACTCTTCAAAATACAATACACAAATAAAATAACGTACACTCGCAAAATTACTAGGACACTACTAAGGAAAGCAGGTATGTTTATATTGCTACTTGAAACAATTTTGCCAAGCGTAAATGGGAAATCGATGTGTACGAAGCTATTATGCTATCAAAAACTTTCACCCACTTTATTATCATCCATTAGTGTATTCAAACTCTCAATCCACATAGGATCAATATCTCCATCCAGTACTATCCACTTGGGTCCATCACCAGGCATATTAGCCATATCTCTCATTATCGTAGAAAACAATCCATCTTTCCATTCTCTCGTTGCAGGATTGATGATGCCGAACAGCTCGTCGTTAGTCACCGCTTTTGGATCCAAGTCATTATAAAATGGTTTAAGTTTCATCATATAGTAGGTTTTATTGAGACATTGCCAAACCATCGACTTTCCAGTACCGGCAAAACCATCTATGAAAACAGAGTGTCGAACAGCAAATAACTCCACCAGTTGAACCATCTAAAATTTTAAAGTTGTAGATTAATATTAAAAAACGTTGTAGAATAATATTTTTATTTTATTTATTATTCTATTAAAAAGTTACAATTTTATTGCATGGAGTTACATCTGCCAAACTGCGCAGCAGTTTGTCGGCAGTAGTTCTCTTCTTAACATATATAAGTGCGTATATAACTTAAAGTACATATACATATACATATGCAATTGCTATACATACAATATGCATACAATGCTATACATACATACAGTTTTGACATTTTCATACAATTCTACTGAAATCTACTATTAGGGGCATAGTGCCAGATAATGTTTTTTTAATATATTTTTTCATTGACTTTTTGTGCTGATTGCGTTCAACAATTCAAATGGCAGCTCGTTATGTATCTAAGGTATAATTATTATCTTGTACGCTGTCCAAAATAGTGCCTAGCTTTCGATACCAAATACTTCCTTTTTTTAGATTGACGGGTTGGGTAGCCACAAGGCCGTTCCACTTTAAATTTTTAATTATTAAATTGTTCTATAATTAGTTTTAATTTATTTTTTTTGTCTACAGGTATAATTTTACATAGTTTAAACAAATTTTCATATTCGTTTTTACACGATTTTTTTACTTTTTTATCAACTAATAATTTTAATAATCTTATTCGTAGCGTTTAAATTTTATTCAAGTGTACAGGGAACGTTAATCCATAACAACACAACCCATAATCCATTGTTGCACCTGCGAGCGCATGGTATAACATATACAGTATGCCTTTATTTGTCATAGATTTCAAATGATATATCTTGCCCAACACACCACGTAGTTTTTTACAAACAGTTTTGACATGCTCAGTCCAACTAAAGTTATTATCTATATTCAATCCGAGGTATTTGTAACATGACACTTGTTTCAGATTCTCACATTTACAGTTACATACTACGCTTGTCATGCAAGCACTCGTATGTGTGACCTATAATTTCAATACTGATTTTTGCTTTTTATATAAATATATTTATTAATTATCAGTAGTATAAAAGCTATCTTTCAAACCTTTAAAATAAATCCGGGCTCTGGTTGTAAGTTCATGGATAAAGCGCCATCTATTAACATTTTTTCGAAATCCAAATCTCTTTTTCTAGGTACGTCAAGTGCGGGGAATAAATCACCTATAAGACCCATAAACACTGGTGTATCGTCTGTTACTATTTTAGGGATGTTAAAATCTCTCAAAGCTCTCATCAGTACTTGATCTTCTGGCCTCAGTCGGTCACCACGCTGATTTCACAAAAGTAACAATTGATTAGCTGAATATTATTTCATATTTTTACATGAGCGTGTGTTCAATAAAACAAACCTTAAGTGAGCCAGCTACCACCAGCACGGATTTAATTGCCCGCAGTCCCCAATCATAATGATCTTGTTTCGAGAGCAATTCTTTACATAAAGTGTAGAGAGTTATAAACTTGCGTGCTAAAAGACGTGCCTCTTGAAAGCCTTCTGCTACCAACATGATTTCGCAAATTAACTCGAAATCTGGTACTACCATAGCGCAGGGCCTGTGATGTAAAAGAAATTTCCATAAAATAATCTTTTTATCTTATAATAAATAAACTTATTTATTGTCTTTTTCCTATTAATATTATTGAAAATTGACAATTTAACCTAAACAGAGCTTTAAGATTTTCTGGTAGCTCGGTCCTGCCAGCGTATCCAGGATTCATGGTGATGAACATTCCCACCGTGGGAATTAGCGTGATATATTCGCCCATGAAGTCAAACTTTTTCTTTTTAGCTTTGATAGCATCCAGAACACTTTTTACTTGTACTGATACTACGGACAACACTTCTACCGAGATTCTGTTAAATTCGTCGAAACAGCCCCATGCACCGGTTTGAGCTAGTCCTATGAGAAAAAATTTAATCATATATTTATCAAGAATTATTTTACTTAGCTAATCATAGTATAAATTTAATGATTAACATACCCTTATAAATATTACCACAAGACTTGTAGTCCATTTGTTCAGAACAATTAAATACGTAAACCATGATACCAAGTGCTCGTCCAAGATCTTTTGTAGTCTCTGTTTTGCCAGTGCCAGCAGGTCCAGCTGGAGCACCACCCATAATTAAATGAAGACTCTGAAAATGGATCACGTTATTGTGCTTGATAATGTGAAGCTTAATGGTGCAGTGATTATAGTGTGGTGGTCTGTGATTGACGAGTTTCAACATAAATTGGATGTAACATACACTAAAAAGTGTTATTAGAATATTCTTACCTGAGTAAGAGTAATGTAGCAGCGATCAGTTAGTGGCGTGATGACGAGCCGAGGCGTATTACCTAAGTACTCATAATCATACAGAAATTGAGCGTCGCAGATATTAGCAAAACAATTATTTAAGTTATTGTCCCAACGATGCCTGAAATGATAAACATTTTCCCAATTGAAATCTAAACTAATCCTACCTTCATGTGCTTTTAAGGCGGGCTCGTAAAAAAAATGATGCCCAGTAGTTTCTTCTTAAGTAAACTACTTATTTCAGCAATGAAATGTTGGACAATAATAAATAAATGTTAATTATCTACATTAACCCAACCGGCAATCGGTCACAAAATTTTGGTATACCTTAACTGACTCTGCCATTGAAATGCGTTGGAATTCTCTACTTTAGATATAATGAGTTTTGCGACAACATCTCGTGAATGCACATCAATAGTGCAAATGGTCATAATCTTTTGTCGATCACCAACCGAAAGGTCTCCCAGAAGTAGAACGATGAGTGCATTTAGTTGTGCGATTTGCTTCTTTTGATAATCCTTCAATGCACCTTCATAGCCTAAATTGTAAAATAAAAAATACATAACACTAATTTTGAAGGTATGAAAATATTATAAAAATATTTATTTTATCTCTTCTTAAACCAATCGTTTAAATATTAAGAAAATTATAACCTTCTTCTAATTTCTCAAATGCTTGATTTGTTTCAGTAGTCCACCAGATTTGTGTTCCCACTAAAGCCGGTTGCGCAGGCCAATCAAATACCCACTCATCTCTTGGTTTATCTTCATAAGATTTAACACAATGCTCAAAGATATCACGTAGAGTATATCGCATGCAGTCCGTTACACGATTCAGCCAAGCCTCTACCTGTTGTAAATAAAAAATATTCAATATATTAGATGAAAACTCCAAGTATAATTATATATATTGATGTTTAATTTTTTCACCTTTCCCGAACAATCACAACAGGGAGCCTTGAATGGTACGTGTTCTTCATTCTCTTTAGATATCATTTCAAAAGCATGTTTGCTACCCCCTTTAGGGAATACTAACTTCGCCAAATTGTCGTACAATTTTGTCAAATGGCGACATACTGCTGGTGGGTTATTGCCATTAGATAAAATATCTATAACCAACAAAATACTTTGAGTTGAAATTTTAAGTAACCATGTATATATAATATTAATTTAACAATATAATACTTTACTAAATAATATAGAATCCAAACACCGGTTTACATACATACCCAATAAATCTGCTGAAGATACAAAGTAGAAACGAGGATAAGCCAAACGTTTGGTTTCCAAATAGTCATTAAGTGCTTTTTCGCACAAATTCAGTGCTGCCATCAAGTCTTCAAGTTTATCCAGTAAGCCTGGCTTATTTGTCGCTTGTACTACATTGGGAGTATTACCTATGTCTTTAAGTAATTCCTGTTGGAATAACAGTCATAGTACAGCTATTGTATTCACTTAAATTAAATTAACGAGATCATTTCAAAATTAATAAAGACAAAATAAAAAAACATCAACAGCATGTCAGGTTCTAAAAAAAATCTCCAGTTGATTTTAAACCTTAACACATCAAGGGTAGTTCGAAATCAATTGCGGGAATTCAACATATTGTAGTAACCTGACATGCAGCCGTGTGTACATATATACCTTAAAAGTTTTATCAATATTATCGAATCTTTTAGAGTCTTCTGGTAGTTGAGCTCTAATATCGTCAGAACCCACGAATATGCTTTCTAAGTACTGCCATTTGCGCTGCACTTCAAACCATATCGCAATAACTGCGTCTGCTGTGCCGAGTTTTTTCTGCCACTCTGTAACCTCCGCTTCGTAGAATCCAATAAACTTGGAAGACATCATGTTCTGAACTTGGTTCTAAAGGCGAAATAACGTTTTTTTTAAACAAAACTGGCTTTTAAATACTCAACTTAATCGGTTCATGTGGACATGAAGATTCTATGTAAGGTAAGTAAAGATTTTGTGGCGTTGTTAATTATTATACATAACGGCTTTCACTTTGTTGCACAAACTTCCATAAAAATGGTGACTTTAACCTCTGATGAATGTTCTTCATTTAAAATTTTATATCCGTAATGTCGCTTTAAACTAATGATTATTCTGGAATGGATCTTTGTGGAATTTTAATTTTAAATATTTTAATGATAAAGTTACCATTGAGTTTGACAATCAATATAATAAAATCCTTATATAATATAAATAATTAGCACGTTAATTTTACCTGATTGTCTTCAAGTGTTTCTACTAATTCCTCGCTGGCTTTCGGTAACTTAATTCCTGTTCTATCATGGGATGTGTAGTCGAATTCCATGATAGCCCATGTTGCTTCCAATTCCCTAGTTTAATATATTTGTTTTAAGAAGCTATTGGTTTAACAATCAATACAAAAAAAATAACTAAAGAATTATATTTACTTAAGTGTTTTATCCATTGCTGCTTCTTTCACTGACTTATCAACTATAGTCTTTACTTCTTCTTCGTATTTATGTAAATTAAGAGCTAATAGATCTGCCAATGTCGTATCGTCATCGATATGGAATTTTACCTAGAAAAATGTTATACTCATTAAGAAATATGCTTTAATAATAAATAGTTATTAAAAAGCGTCTGCTTTCTCATACTTAAGATAATTCAAAAATGATGACGACTAAATAAATTAAGTTATTAGATGTTTTACTTACCTTTAAAAATATATTATGTTAAAAATTACCTATTTATACAATTATTTACAATTTGCTATTAAAAATACTATCTACATGAATTCTGACAGTATGACCATATAATCTTGGTGTTTCGATTGAGATTTTCTTTTTGTAAGTGGCTTAAGCTCAAATCCTTTATCTTTTAACTCTTGCATGGAATATGATTTATTTAAATTTCTAAATCTATTTCCACTTATATTATTTTCTTGAAACTTAGGTCTTCTAAAATCTTTAATCTGAAGCAAATTCTCGAACTTAAATTCCCTGACTTCCTCTTTAATTACATTGTTACCGGATAATTCGTTCATAGTGGGGGATGCTAAGTCCTCCAAAGATTGAAATTCCTTTAAGATGTCTTCTAGAGTTACTCTACTGTATACAAATCGCTTCGCTAACGATGATGTGGTATGATTGTATGGTAAGTTGATTGTCATGAGGTGTGAGTGAACAGCTCGCTAAATGAAATGAAAATATATTTACAGTAAACTGTATGTACAAACACAACATAAAAAAATAGAAACAACGATTCAAACGTAATAAATTTGCTGAAATATTAAACAGAGTTACTTTTGTAGCCATCATAAGCTCCACCCAGTGCCTGTCTTTGATTGCTGGATTTTGCAAATCGGTAACAGCTCGGAGCGAAGTCATCAAGTTCTTAATCGTACCCTCGATAGCAATATATGGTTCCCTATTTGAAACAAAAACACCATAATTAATTAGGGTGTCTCTCTCTATACGTTTGTCGCAGCTTATTATATTTAATAACTACTAGACAGACTTAGTTGAAATTTAACCAGTTTAAATATCTATACTAATAATATTAAGAGGAAAGTTTTGATTGTATGTATGTTTGTTTGCAATGAATAGGTTTCGAAATTACCGATTTAAAAATTCTTTCACCTATGGGAATCATCATCATATGCGGTGTACATATATAGGCTATATTTTATCCCAATAAAGGGCAAATAAAGGGTTGAAAATGGTAGTGTAACTTTGTATAGGGAATTAAAACGGTGTCATAGTAACCATTGTTTATGATTATAATTATCATTTTAATTATATCCATGTCAAAAAGTAAAGTATGTCCGTGTCATGATGTGAAACCTTATGTAAAAGTGTCCCCTTTCTTCACAGTTTAAAAAAATGCGGGAGTAATTCTTTGTCTATAGATTAACAGAAAAACCTATGGTTTTAAAACTACACATTTGTACACAACCTTGCCTCGCCCTCAGTTGACTTTTTGTATAAAGTATGAATCAAACATATTATAACGTACCAAACCCTCATATCCTTATCGAGCTGTCTCAAGTCCTTAGTAAATCTCTTACATTCTTGATCCATACCATCTGCATCTATTTTCTTCCAAGGGGATTTCTTCCAGAATTCAATGGTACCCATGACTAAGTAATAATAATCCCAGAGTTGCTAATGATAAAAATTTTTCGAAGTATTAATACTTAAAATATATCAAATAAAAGTCATAACTTAAAAAAAACTAACCTTAATTAGTTTTAATTCTCTACGGCATTGTTTGAGATTCTTCTCATCAGGAGGCTGAATATCGAACAGACTGCAGGACTTCTTTAGTGACTCCACAAGATCCTCAAAATGCGCTATCTCTATATGTACTTTGTCGATTTTTCCGTAGGGTTCCTTACATGATTCTAAGAACATCTACAATAAACGAACACAAACTTATTGAAAAATTAATAATCAGTAAAAAAAAATGGTCAGTAAATCGTGTTTTTTGTAAAAAATGTGTTTGAAGTAACAGAATTTCGTTTAATGTCGCTTAGTTCAGTTTTAGTTAGGCATTTAGAGCAAACACTAGGTCATGCTGAGTGTTTGCTCAAAATGCCAAACATGTGCCAAACTATGGCAAACACTCAACTCACATACATATCCACGTTTGGCTAGCGCGCTAGTGTGTTCTGTACCAAGAACTGACACTCACTATCTGTGCCGAGGTCAATTCCTGACAAACACAAACGGCAAACAGATAATTCAAACATATATCTAGCAAACATTTATCTACACGTTGTGTTTAGTTGTTCGAGTTCGTTTTTACAAGCTTATGGAGCCGCCTATAAATATTAATGAAAACTATCCAATACATTATATAAATTATATTGACCTCTTTCAGCTTGAACTGGTCTCTGTACATGGTGAGCCTCAAATTAATAAGCGCCACTCTCTTAGCGATTAGAGCTGCTTGTGCAGCCTGTAGCGGTGCAACGGTATTCTTCATTACAGTCGCTAGTTTTACAACGTTTCTCCACTTCTCAGGCAACATATCCAACTATAACACAATCTATTAATATCATATCAAATTTAATAATAAGCATTTAACAATTAAAATTCTTTTCTTAATTTTATACTTACAAGAGTGTGCACAGAATACTGGTGATTTTTAGACTGCATGATCCCAACGAAGGCAATAAATAAAATATGCATGATAAAGACTTAGGAGACCAAATTGAAACGTTGAACACGCATTAAATAATCCGCGTGTTTCTAATAAATATATTTTTGGTAATAAAATTATTACACACGTATTTGTTAACAAATCTACAATAGGCATGTTTAAATAAATTTGGAAATGCAATAAAGTATATTTTATATGTATTTTACCTGTTCATATGTTTCCTCAGGGAAGTCAACACCGTACTCTTTGAGAACATCAATGATGTCCCGAAGTGGCTCGAACATCTGATCGGTCCCAGCGTCTTGTTTAGCTTTCACCTCATTGAGTACACGCATCACTTTTAACAATCCCTCATAATCGTCATCTGTGAGCTCCACAGAAAGTTCCTTCGTTGCATAGATTATGAACTTCTCCAAGTCATCCAAACTAATAAGTAAACAAAGACGTGCAGAAGAAAATTGTTACACGTTTACTAATAATCGTTGTTATACAACATAGTGAATTGAATAAAATAAGGTTAGAAAAACATCATTTAATGTATCTAAAATTAAAGAGATTTCGATTATTATTAATTGTCGTGTCAATACCTTGTCTGGACGTGATCTTTCAAGTTTTCTTTATAAAGGTTGCTCCATTTGCAAATAATGTTCATGATTGCCTGGTTCAATCTCTTCAGATCAAGCCGCAACCATCCATTGCAGAGATAATCTCCAGGTAGCGCTGCCACTTCATCGTACAACGTGTTGTACTTATCTATCTATTTTTGATGAAATAGTAAATTATACTAAGCTTTAATTTCAAATCAGATAACTCTACCAAGGATATCAACACTGAATATCAGAATTCAACCAACTTAATCAACATCAAATAGTGAATTATGAAAAATAAAATATAATTAAGTAGACAGACCTCTTGTTGGTATTCCTTTAGTTTTGGTTTGCATTCAGGTGGGTCACAGCCCATTTCGTATCGGTACTTGTCAAACTCTTCTGGTGGAATTACTCGCCCATATTTTAAAAATCCAGCTAATACTTCTTGCCTATCTTCTATCCATAGCGGCGTATATTTTTCGTATTTCTGCAACATTGTTATAAGGCGTTTTATCAATAAAATAACTTAATCTTTACGAAATTGAATTACAATAAGTAAACATATTACCGAGGCATATTTCACAACGTCATTGATACTATTTTCAACCCTCTTTAATATTTCATGATAAAGATCTATCATGGCTTCTTCTTTTTCAATGTCATCTAAATAAATAGTATAATCATTTACAATACACTAAACATGAACAAATATTAAAAATACATTATCAATACACATCATGCGTGTGTCTCGTAAATTATTTACCTTCATAAGACGCTATTTCAATAATTGGGTCAATTCTTGGGAAAAGTGTGGCTTGCAAAAACATGTCTTTCATCATTTCTCTGAGGGTATCATATAAGCCATCTTCTTCGTCCGTATCCAATGACGGAGAAAAAAATATATCTGTCAGTGAAAATATTATATTTAATCCTTATAACATGTTTTATATTAAATCCTCGTAACTTGTTAATCAATAACATCTTACTATTTTATATAAGTAATTATTTTTGATAATAGGTTATGACTTTTGATAGAGCCCAAGTATTTATCCTTGGCCAATTGTTATTATTTTTATATTTATGGATATCACGTTAAATACGATTTTCAGACCTGGATCTTTCAGTTCAGCGACCACAGTCATAAATGCAATTCTCGGACCTTTCTCTAAATCTGTATTCTTCTCAAATAAGTTTATGCTTGATTGTATTGCCTTCATTACTTGCTTTGAAACCTTAAACGTATTATATTTTCGTTAGAAGAAATACAACTGCATTATAAGTCTGTTTAAGTAACAATTTTAATGAAAAGGCATTTAATATATCCAAAAAAAAATGCACTGTAATTATAATAATTATCATTTGAAATGCGTACAAGTGAGTCAACATATTTGACATATGCAGGCCATCTTTCAGCTCTGAATGCTTCTTCTTCCATCTCTCGCTTTTCTTCCTCTATGTCCGCTAACTCTTCTGGGTCAGTTATTTCTTCTTCCTCCTCAGCTGGAGAATCGACTTCTTCGCCTAAAGAAGCGAATACATATTAGAAAAATAATACAAAACGATAAATGGATAAATATATTTTAACATGGAGCTTAATCTCTTCATGGGCTAATAACATTAACTAATAATAATAATATAATTTATTTGTTTATACGCAAAATTATACAATATCTCTTTAATTACAATTACAAGCTTGATTAATTTTTTGAAAAATAAAGTATATATATGTTCAGAAAATAGAACTAACTTTAAACTTAAAGAAGTGAGAAATAATACACATCTTAAAAGTGATTTAATAATTTAAGAAACTGCTATTGTAGTCGGGCGTAGGTGTATTGTAGGTTATATCGAGTAAAATATATGATAACCGTCCGACATTAATAGCAGTTTCTTGAATAATTATGATTATTAGATAATTATTAAGAAATTAAGTGACACTGCCTTATAGGATTGCTCGTGTATGCCTGTCCGTCTGTTTGTTGTAGCCGAATTTTTCCAAAGCTACTAAATCGATTATAAATTCAAATTAAATGTGGCACACTTATGTCGATGACTTAAAAAGAATTTAATAATTGACGCCTTTTTAAGGGAAAACTAAAAATAAAAAAGTTTTTGAAAAACGTCTTTCATATAAACTTTGCAATTTTCGCAAAAAGAAGTTTTGCTTTACATTCATATATATTTACCAGCATCTCTCCTAGCTTGTCGTTCCTGTCTTTCAGCTTCTTTGGCCTCTCTCTTGATTCGTCTAACTTCTCTTCTTTCGAACTTAATCTGAGCAGCCTCAGCTTTCTCTTGCTCTCGCTCTTCCCTAGCAATTCGCTTCTCTTCTCTACGGTCCATTATTGCTTGCAGTTTAGCAGCTCTAGCAGCTTTTTCATCTTCATCAAGGGTAGACTCATCTACTTCCTCAAGTTCTTCTTCCTCTTCTTCTTCCTGAAATATTAAATAAAAACAATAATATGATCCCTACTATTAATAAAAAATATTAGTAGTTGCTATACAAAATAGTAAACTAAAACTATCACGGTACTACATATTCACCTCTTCGTCATCCATGATGTTGAAGAATAATTTGTAATTACGTGCCAAAACGTCTACAAATTCAGCGTGACTTGCGAGAATCTTATTTCGTCTGTAAAATCAAAATTACTCTTGCAGAAGAGACATGCAGTTGATAAATTTGAAATTAGTAAGAAATTTTACACAACTAACTCACTATAATTAGATAAAATGAATTTTCTTTAGGGAATCTGATTTTAATAAAAAGTTATTGCTATAATTTTGTAAGAATACCGTCGTACGAAGCGGGGATGGCGTTCGTTGACAGCAAGCAGTTCAACTTTGTCAGGATTGTCCTTGCGGTTATGTAGCGGCACATCACCCCAAGCCGCTATATTGATTAGCCCACGCTTCACATTATTCTGTGCCGTTAATACTCGCTCTTGCAACGTATTGATTGCTGTGTAAACTTCTGCCATCCATTCTGTAACTAAGCACATAAATAGAATTATGAATTTTAGATTTAAAAAAGATTTATTTATTTGTGAAATTGCTATCAATTACGTAGCGTTATCCTTAAGAGGTATTACGCGGCTAACACTAAACACATGTGTAAAGATATTCTAAGAACTTTTTTAATAGGCAATAAATATTGAATTCTTAACTATTTCGAACGAGAAGATTTTAAGTGAGGGCGAGAAGATTTTAAGTAATTAAGGTTTATTTCTAACTAATTTTTTTATTTATCAGCTGTTTTCCTTCATATGTGTAAATAATACTTTCGGGTAGTTGCAATTTAGAGCTATTTGAAGTAAATAAGAATTCACTTAATATTAGCCTAACATTACATTTAATTCTAAAATTATTCTATGAATCCATGGAAGCCAACTAACTACTCTGTTAATATATTTCAGTACTTATGACACTTTTCGGTCGATAAAGAAATTCTTCACACCAAAATTACACTTACAATCATCATTCCAAGTAAGTTCTTCGACACCTCGCCCAAGAAGATTATCAATTGCTGATATTTCTTTCTCAATCAAAGCAACCTCAGTTTCGTGGCTTCCTTCACGGATTGCGTTGTACCAGGCTATTGCCCGATTTAGCCGATTCATATCGTACTTTGCGGGGAAAAACAATTTTTAGTATCCTTTATATTTGCAAATAAACTAAATTAAACATTATCTTTAATACCTGGAGCTTTTCATTTCGTGCATAAAGTTCCAAACCGTCTGGTGGTATCCCTTGTTTATCTAAATACTTCATATAGCGTATTTCTCTTAACAACATTACAAGCTACAAATAAATAATTATTCTTTTTTTTTAATATATACATGATTTTTACTTGAAATTGTTTTCAGATTATTAATGACAAACCTCTGGACTGAAATTATTTCTGACAAAAGGCGGGTCTCTATAGATAAGATTCTTAGCAAGATGCAGTTTGCATATGGGTGGCACTGTTGCGCACCACTGCTTGAAGTTACGATCTTCTAGTACATTCAGGTAGCCCAACATTTCATTATGCTTCTGTTTCATATATATCGCATATTCCGTATCAATAATCCTAAAATGAATGAATAAAATATTCTTTAATAGTGTAAACTCACCATAGGAGAAACGTGCTCAAAAGTGGGGGAACCTGCATTAAAAAAAAAAAAGAACTCGCCATAGCTAAAGATAAAACAAGGTATAATACTTTCCAGGCTAACTTAACTAACAGGATAAGATGAAATAAAATAAATAAGCAAACCTTCTTGAAAATAATGTGCAGTAGGTATAAATCTAGCTAGTTTATATGTATTTTCTATACTATCATAATTCAATGAAACTTACGGGTCTTCGAACACTATGAATTCCTCCATTGGAGATTGAATGCGTCGACGTAGTTTATAGACCCACCAAATCAATCCTGAAATTGGTGGCAGATAAGAATCTACCATGGGCTTTTCAGGACCCTTGGTTAATTTCTATAAACGAGAAAAATTTATTAAATTGCACTTATAAAATATACGAACTATAGGTACCGTCAACGCTTCTTACCGACACTTCTTCATCGTAAATTTCTTTAACAGCATCCAAATTAGAATGCATGAATTCCAACAGTTTCATTAGTTTAGGTTTCAACTCATTTTTGATTATAGGTCGATGAAACAAGTCTCCCATAATTTGGAAAAACTGAAAAAATTACCAGCTTTTAGTTTAAGTTCATTAGTTCATGGATACTTTTGATGAGTGAGTGATCACCTTAAAGAAATGTTCTAAGTTATGGCATTCATCCAAACCCTGGGAAAACAACGAAGCCAAGCGACGATCAATGTCTTCTAAAACCTTTATATGTTTATCGTAATCACGCAAGAAGCTGTTGTCTTCAGGATCTGCTGGGTCATAGGTGATATTACCCAAGTGCAGATATTTGAGTGAATAATCATCAAGCACCTACAATAATTTATGTTATATATGAAGGATCAATTATTACTATATTTTATACAAATTATAAATAAAAAGAAGCTATTCAGTAGATAATTCAAAATATCTTCAATGAAAAATATCCTATAAATTACTTACAATCATACATTCGCTACTGAGAGTCTTTCCTCTGAGGCCACAGAACTCTACTTTTTCTAACTTTAATATTTCAACAGTAGCCTCTAGTATAGTTTCGATCATTGCAAGCCGTTTCATATAAACGTTAAATCTCATGAACACTCTATCGAAATCAAATGACCATCGCACAGGCATTACACCTGCAGGGAAGAATGTGTGGACTTTGTCGCGGTTCAATTCATAAGTCTCACTGAAAAAAACAGAATATCAAATAAATATTTTTTTAAATACCATTTATAATTTTGTTGTAAACAAAATATCTGTTTATAACTTACATAAAATGTTTTAGAATAGACATCGCTTTTCTTAGTTTTAATAAGTTTTCATCGGCGTCGCCTTGGAAAATAGATGACGGGTCAATGGAATTCGTGCATTGTTGAATAACCAGATTGCACACTTCCCGTAATAATGCTGAAATTTAAGATTATAAATCATATCATAAATCAGCGTAAAATCAGTTACAATAATTACTTCACAATAATCACTTTTTTTATAAAAAATAACATATATCGTTTTATGGTAAATATTCCTTTAAAACATTAGAATCAGATGTCATATTACGTATTAGCTTCTCGACATTGCAATAGTATCTTGAATTTCCCCAAAGAAGACCGATGCAATGAAACATTGGTCTGATAAGGTACTTTGCATCGGAGAAGTCTGTTCCTTCAAACGTCTCAAAGTGTAGTTGAAGTGGCTTCTGGTATATGTAGATGTCTCGACATTCAACAATAGCTGTAAAAAAGTCAATTTGCAGTTATTATAGTTACTTACTCAGATCAGAAAGTGTCTTATTAAAACAAGCCAAATGTTGAAACAATAAGAAATGCCTAGCAAAAAATTAATATAACAAAAACATTTTTTTAATTGTGTAATAAAAAGTAGGTATTTATTATTTTTAGCATCCGTTTAATAAGATAAAGACTAACCAGCCACAACATTTGTCAGCATGGACTTGAAACAGCTTAGGTAGACGCTTCGGGTGGCCTCTAGGTAGTGTGCCATACGCTTTACTCTGGGGTCACGCAACTGAGAATAAATGCCCTCGAGGTTCTTCAGCCGAGCTACATAGAACTCTATGTCTGAATTGGGTAGTGGGAATTTTGTCTTCTTAAAAGCTGCCAATCAATAAATGACATTATAAATAAATTGAAACATAAAATAATTTAGATTCTTTTAAAGTACACTATACGCACCAATATAAGAATCCTCTTGAAGCAGATCGTGAACTTGTTGCGCCCATTTAATAACTGCGCCCTCAATATTTGTTTTCAAATTCAAATCAACATCTTCTCCATCACTGATGATAATAAAATTAAAACAAACCATGTTATGTAGTATTGTATTCAAAGACATCAAACGCAGATATTCTTTCCTTTCTACCTTTCTTACCTTTCTTTCAATCTCGCTTCAGCATGGTAAATATTTTCTACTCCTGCAGGCATCGGTAACATGACCTGACTCGCCATTTCACCTTTGAGCTAGTGAAATATTAAAAACCTTTGATTAGGTATCATCAAATTTTAGAAACCACTAAGCACTAATGATATTTTCCCATTTAAAAAGTTTAATGTACTCATGGGTGCTAAGAAACTGGTAAATTCTATATCCCGAGATTAATTGTAATAAATAAATATTCAAACATGTTGTTGCACGACGAACCTGATGCATTAAATTTCTCAAATCATCCACGTGGCGCCTCATATCGTTACGGACAATCTTCGGCCAGCCACGCTGGTTCTCAGGGTTACACAATAGTGGGCCAATCACCTCTTCTGCCATTATACTAATGTCCATTAACACATTACCTGACAGCTCACCAATCGTTGTAATCTATGGGTGTCAATATCACAATAAGATTCATATTTGCTATTTCTAAATATAAAGTAAAATTAACAAGATAACTTTGGCAAAGGTTTAAGTCAAAATTTATACCGCCACCATCCTTGTATAATCTTAAATTACATCTCATTCCATGACCAATGTTTCTACTACCTCTGAACGCATATAGTTGGCTATTGCCTACAACGACGAGCTATGACAAATAGATATATTAAAAAAAAAACTTGAATTTCGTACTTTAGTAGGTTTGACGAATACATTACCTGACGAAAATTTGTTTGGGTAATTTTATCAGGTGAATTTCTTAAAAAATATATCATTTTCCCTCTGCTTATAGGAGGGAAAGAAGTAGCACACGTTAATAAACCTGCTGTATTCATGCGAAACACAATGATCTCGTATTTCGGTAAATCGAAATACCTGAAAAGAATGTGCTGAAACATATATGTATTTAGATTAAAATAAAGTATGTAAAATATAAAAAGCTTTATATATTTGTTTCATTATTTTATGCTTACTCTTTCGTCTCCTGTGATAAACTTTGCCCATTTCTCTACTTTTTGCTTTAGTGATTTGAGAATATATTCGCTCATAAACTCGAGACGAGTATCTACATCTTCTTTCTATAAACCACGTTTTCTTTTTTATTATGATGTCATAAAATAATACATTTTCGTCGTCAACTAGATTTTTCGACAAATTAAACTAAGAATATCATATTGATACATCAAGAAAGAAAGATTGTAACTACAACTTGGACGAGTTACTAAGATACAATTTTGTTTATAACGTCTATCAATCAATATAAAGTTTCAATATGCACATAAAATAAGCCTCGTTTTTGTATCCTAAAGTAGCTTAATATTGTTTATTCTATTTTTGTGCATCAACTGGTGTTCACGACCGTTCTACTCCGAGGTATAGATATATATATATATATCATACAGTTACTTATATTTGATTATATATCTGTGTTATTTACATTACTTATAAAATCATTTTAAACTTTACTACAATTAATAAATTTACAAATCATACATAGAAGTCTTTGAATCACAAAAGAAATTTCTACGATTTTACTTACGTCACCCATATTGTTTTACTTCAATAATTATTTAAATAAGTTTTATTAACATTTACATTGTAATAAAGGCAATATTTGTTTATTCCTAATAGCAATTAGCGTGACCTGTTAATATTTCCTGTCACTACAATGGCGCGATTTTGTTGTTATCGTTACCATGGTAATCGCGTTTCTAATTTTGAACGAACAAACTTCTAAATTCTATAGTTAATATCAAAGAGAATTTAACTACATGTATACAACGTTTTAACCCGATGAGAATTTGAATATAATATCTATACCATATAACAAAGTCGCTTCCTGCTATCTATACGATGAGATCTTTTCAACTACAAAACAAATTATATCGCGCTTTTCAGCAATATACAGAGTGACTCGAGAGAAAGGGTTTTATTACTATACAGGACCATGCGGAACCACGGGCGGAAAGTTATTTTTGAATAATTTTTAGACGCCTGTCGCTAACTCGTTGATGTCTTTTTTATGAGAACTTGAATATTCTCTTTATTTCATTAAATATCTCAGAGTACCAGGAACAATGTGGATATTTAAGCATTTTTCAGTCGGAATGTTTATCAGTATAGCATTATGAATGCGAAATTGAACAAATATAATGAACAATTAATATATTATATAACCAGCTGTTGTGTATTTAGCCAGACTGCGCCCGTATTATATATATTAGTAAATTAAAGAATTTTCATGGTCTGCAGGACGATTCTGTAAAAATCTGATCCCAAATTCGAATTGTTCCAAATTGGAAAATATGCTCGAATTCACTTTAAAAAGTGGCATCCGCTCAACCTTGAATTGGTAATAACGTTTCGTGGATAAGTGAAGTGAGTTTCGAAATGACATAGGAATAGAATATCTGAGACATGTATATTCAATCAATTTTGATTTGTATTTTTATGCAAATAATGGAATAGAATTTCGACTGGGTCTGGACTTTTATCGGATTGGCAGGGCTGATGAAGATTACCCTAAAGACGAAGTAAGAAACTATTCCTCTTTATTATATTTGTATAGATTATTCAATTTTAGCAAATTTTGCATATCTATAGGACAAATGATAAAACTTTATTTTTAATAAACTTCAATTATAGAATCGGTCTGCATAGGGTTAAAGACTAGGTAAAAAAAATCTATTTAGTCCATCAAAGAATAGAAAAATATAATAAACGTACTTTTGTGTTTTAGTTCAAAAAGAAATGACTTAGATAATGCGTTTAAAGTTGAGGAGTGGCGGCTAGGGCTAGTGGGGGGGACGTCATAGTTACGAAAAAAATGTATAAAATTGTGACGCCATGCGACATTTTCAATTAAAACTAAAATATACGTGTTTATTATTCATTAATAATCTACCTGACGAACAGACATCAAACATTATTCATCATCCCGATTGGCTCAGAACCAGACCACATGGTATTCTTTGATATCGAAGACCGAGAGTCACTTCACTTCAAATATTATGTAACCTCTAGATGAATCGCAGAAATAAATTATTACAAGTCAATTGTATTCTGTATTGTGTAATTGTAATAATATAAGTAAAAAAAAAAAGTTCGAATTGCGTAAGACTTATATTATTTCTATTATTCTCAGAAAAGAAGATAGAAATATCGTATTATCAGAGAAGAAGAGTTATCCCCGAGATCTCGTATCTGTATAGTGAATTGGTTTGTTTATATTTTTGAAAAAATAGTTCTGAAGTTAATGAAAATTTACAACCTACCCACTCGATCAACGAAACTTCTGAGCCTGGATATTTAAAAATTATACAGATTTTTTTTATATGTATACAAGATGAAGAAAGAAGTACATATAGGTATATGTCGTTTTTAAATTGAATGCAAGTGCTTCTGCGTGCAAGCTCGAAACGCTCTTGATCGGTTTTTTTCTTTTACCTATTAATTATATTATGAGGTTGGTAGTAGAGTTTGTTTCATGAAAGAAGTCCTTGGAATTACAATGTTTTTGCTTTTATTACAACAGGTGAGGTTCATGCCAAGGGAACTTGTTCGTAAAAAGGCAAATATTATTCGGGTTTTGTATTAAACTAACAGAAATTGTTTTGAATATATTTATAAAGTCGTTTATCCGCAAGCTATTCGCGAGGTAACGCCTTATGTAGCAGCCACGTGTTGTGGGAACGATCCTTTATAGTACTGCTGACGTCCCTATTAAATAAACATTAGCATTATACCACAATATGTTTAATTAAAAAAAAATTTGAAGAGGTTAATTAAATGAAATTGTTTTTTTGTTGTTACAAAATAACACCAAATGAAACTGAAAGAGTTTATCGGCCAGTGAAATGAGCCCCCAGGAATACCTCACACGACGCATCGATCATCGTCATCGACGGGCCTTATCGATTAATTTACATATGCCATTGTAAAAGTCAATAATTAAAACAAAAGCTGCTAATGGCAACCGTTTACCTATTGCATCATTACTTTCAAAGAAGCAAAATGTGAGAGCAGCTCCCCCCGCCCTTTAAGTAAAATATACTATTGACCTCAATAAACATTTTCAACGAAAACTTGTTTGAATGGGGTATTTAATGGGGTATGCTATAGTTGCACAGGCGAGTTGGAGTTCAAAGACGTTCAGAGCGATAACAAGTATTTTTAAACATATTATAACTTGGTCATTTTTTAACGGATTTCAATTTTATTTTCAGATTTATTTTAGTTATGACCTATATATTTATTTTATTTTGTTAAATATAATAATATCCTTTTCCTCATTCAAAGAGATAATATGATTCGTGGTTAGTGATATTTTCTGTTAATTTAGCTCGGGACGCGAATATTTTTATTTTTGTATTCACTTGGCTCAAAAACTATAAAAAAGCAAATCAGAGTCAGATTCATATTTCAAGTCTATTTTGTAGACATATTATTGTCGAATATTGGTTTAATTATTATAATAGGATGGTATGGGTTAAATACCTTTTCTTTTATGAATAAAAAAAAAGCCAATGTCAATGTCAAATTTTACGCGCCAAAACGTCCCGTACTTGGTTGCGGTTTTGTTGTTATTTTTTACCTAGTTGATAATCAATTCACATAATAAGTTTTTCTCTAATAAAAATAAGTGACACGAGTCTTGATTTATATAATGGAAGGCTTTGACGATCCTGGTGTTTTCTTTTCCGACAATTTCGGCGTTGAGGATAATGAATCTCAAGATCAAGTTAACCTTCAAGGTGTAAAGAAAAAATTCAAAGAATTCATCCGCCAATTTCATACTGGAAATTTCAACTACAAATACAGGTAAATACAACTACGTGAATACAATTTATTCAAATTGTATTCACGTAGTTGTCTACGACATCTATAAAACAATTATTAGTTCTACCTGGTAAACTTCTTAGGCTGACCGATCCAAAATGTTTTCAGAGATGCTTTGAAAAGAAATTATAATTTAGGGAACTACTGGGTTGAAATTAACATTGAAGATTTATCTAGTTTTGACGAAATATTAGCTGAAAAATTATACAAGAAACCATCTGAACATTTACCGATTTTAGAAGAAGCTGCTAAAGAGGTGAGTTTAATTTTCTCCTGAATCAAATTTCTGATAATCTAAGTAAGCATCAATGGCAGCAATAAATATACTTCGAATAATCCAATCGATTTAATAGAGAAAGTAGAAAATGTATATAAGGAGCAGGAATCAAATATTTCTGCCTGCTATAGACATATATAATAAATCGATTCTGAGATTACCCAATGCCTGTGTAAATTGTAGAGTAATGCTGTCATGAATGTTACACAAAATGTTATCTCATTACAAGTATTATGTAATAGTCAAAATTTTCATTTTCATAAACAAATAAATATTAGACAACACTGAGATTGCAAGATGCATTACATACATTACTGATTTTGCAAGACGAGTAGCTCAATCCCATGTATTATGGGATATCAAAGAAAATTAAGGTACCACAACACATATTTGCAGATAATATAGAAAAGTCCATTTTCTTCATTGACCCCATTAGAAATTGAACCCGGTACATCAGATATGGTGACACCTTGAAACAGTTGTGTGAACCACTATGCTATGGCATTTGCCAATGAAATGAAAATGAATGGGCCATTTATATATGAACAAAAGCCTATAAGAAAAGAAATAAACTTCACTACTTATTGAAATTCCAGTTAGCCGACGAACTAACTGCACCAAGACCAGAAGGCGAAGAAAAGATAGAGGATATTCAAGTGCTGCTTTCATCAGATGCACATGCTGCAAACTTACGAGAACTGAAAGTAAATGTTCAAACTTACATAGTTACTAAAACTTATTACATAGTGATCTAATTTGTTATCATAGTTTTGTTTTGCATTAAAATCATCATAAATTGATTTGTTTCTTTATATATATTTTAGTAGTTAATTAGTTGAATTAAACCTGTAATATGGCTAATATTGAAAGTAGAAAGAGATATTAATGTAAAATTTTTATTTTCTGTTGAACTCAAAAGAAAATACTGTTTTTAACAAAAAATACCTAATTTGTTGATTTTCTTTTGCAGTCCGAGACTGTTTCAAGGCTTGTGAAAATCCCAGGAATAGTCATATCAGCTTCAGCAATAAAAGCCAAGGCCACAAAAATATCTATACAATGTAGATCTTGTCGCAATATCATACCAAACTTACCAGTGAAGCCTGGTCTTGAGGGATATGTGATGCCTAGGAAATGCAACACGTAAGTGTTTTTTCAACAATTTTTATCCTACAACTTTCTGCTCTGTTAATAATTAGTGGTTTATTTTCAGAGAACAAGCTGGTCGACCGAAATGTCCATTAGATCCTTACTTCATAATTCCAGATAAATGTAAATGCATAGATTATCAGGTAAATAATCTCTATTATATCCAATTTAAAATTAATGAAAGGTTAACTAAACCATAATTAGTTTTTATTAGATTGATTCCTGTTCATAAAACTTGAAAATTAATTATTCCAATAATAAATATTTGAACAGCTAAAAATAAGATATTTAGTCTAGTTAATGGTTTTATTTAGCTTTTGTTTATGCAACATGAATTATTTATATACAGTATTTTATATGTTGCACGTTGAGAATGACAATGTCACTAACCAAAAACGACGTATTTTTTACTTTTGACAACAATTTTCTTTGTTAAATATAAACTTTAACATGCAAAGATCCCCGTGAACGTAGCTTGCTTAGAAACTGCTCGGTGGCGTAGTGACGATACGTTGTTTATAGGGGCTGATTAAAATTTCTTGAACTTTAAACACTCATTACTCAAAATCGCATTTTTTGCATTGTGTCACTATCGTTCTCAATGTACGATGTATTTAGCAGAGCTTTAGAGTTTTGCAGATCACATTTTGAAAAACGCTGAGATAGAGTATATGTTTTATCATCTACATAATAGGTGTTAAAACTGCAAGAAGCACCGGAGAGCATCCCCCAGGGAGAGATGCCACGTCACTTATCTGTGTACTGCGAGCGCGTTCTCTGCGAACGTGTAGCGCCCGGAGCGCGAGTCACAGTACTCGGTATCTATTCTATCAAGAAAATCGCTAAAATGGGGGTGAGTTTTTATACAGATATATTCATATAATATGTAATATGTTAAATATAAATATAAAATATTAAAAATTGAAGTCATCTTTTAACATAATAAAACATATTTCACTTTATTTTAAATTAAATAATGTATAATATTAGCAGATTATACAAAAATCAAATATTTTTGACATTTTATTTTTGTTGAAAACGCCTTGTAAGTTTTTTGTAACTCAAATGACATCACACACTAGTAAATATGACTTCTTGTTGACGATTTTAGTTTGATGGGGTTTATTTACTTTGCTTGTGACGTTATACATGACGTAATGGCGGCGCGTATGACAAACACATAATTTTTTAAACTTTGACGTTAATTTTTATTAATAAATACTTATTATGTATGTAATAAAATAATAATTAAAATCTATTTTTCAAAATTAGTCAAGTATCCTATTATGGAGTATGACGCTCCTCAAAATAAATCTAATGAAAATATACTATTTAATTTTTTGATTGAACAACCATATTTTCTATTAAAATTGCATTGTCACTAAACTACGACTTTCTTTTTAAAAAATGGCGCCGATTTGTTTGATATTAAACCTACAAATTACACTAAAGCCAACTAGCAAGGTATCAAAAAATATATTAAAGATGATGTATTACAGAGAGAGGGTCGCAATAAAGCTTCCGTAGGAGTACGCTCATCGTATGTACGCGCCGTAGGACTTACTGCAGAGGAAAGCGTCACTGGCGGACTTAAACCATTCACCACAGAGGAGGTAATTAAGTAATCAAACAGGAAAACACTTTTCAAAGAAATTAGTAAAAATTGCTTTTTATTACCTAGTATACAAAATACGTTGTCGAACTTTGTAGGCTAGATATCTGCAGCACAGAGATATGAACAGATTATTCTACATATTTGTATTGTGTAGATATTGTACAACACGAAATGGAATGTGTTCGCGTGACTGGTCTGGCTCTCGCGCTAATCAAATTTCATATATTCCGATAACAAAATTATTCGAAAAGTACATATATTTTGAATCCTACCCAATAAATATATTAAACAAATCCCGTAGGATATGTATGTAAACTTCAATAATAGACAAAGAGTTTATGTGCGTTACACAGTAACTTGTTATTGTGGAACATTTTATATTAATAAAAAAAATTACATGTTAATATTATAGTTAGTCTAATGTCATGATCATATGTAAATTTCAATCGCAGGAGGAACAATTCCGAAGACTCGCAGCTTCCCCTGACATATACGAAAGGATCGCGAAATCTATCGCACCCAGCGTTTTCGGTGCTGTTGACATGAAAAAAGCCATCGCCACATTGTTGTTTGGTGGTGTGTATTCATTAGTTTGTGACGTTAATATATCAGTAATATCGGATATTGAGAAATACCTGTAGGTATATAACAATTGGACGTAGTTAATTAAAAAGGATCCATCCCACACAATGTCACTTTTGACATATAGATGATTAAAGTTCAAGCTGTATTTGCATGTTGATGTAACATTTATGTGTATTATATTATTATCTAATAGCATAGAAAACCATTATCTTATTATAATGTAAGTTTAACAGAACTAACAATATTTATTAAAATATAAAACTTAAAGTATGTTTGGATATTTTTTGATATATTTAGGTTTTAATTACCCTATTCTTACAAAACAAATCTCAAAAAAGATCCAAGTGAAGAAATAATAGAATAATTGTATTGTTTTGTGTACAGGTTCCCGCAAACGTTTGCCTGACGGATTAACTAGGCGAGGTGACATAAATATATTGTTACTCGGCGACCCTGGTACAGCTAAGTCCCAACTGCTTAAGTTTGTGGAAAAAGTAGCTCCCATAGGAGTGTACACGTCAGGGAAAGGATCGAGCGCGGCCGGTCTCACTGCATCCGTCATTAGAGACCCTGGAAGCGTAAGTTAATGGTCGTTACATATATGATGAAAAATGCATAGAGTATTACGTAATGTCATAATAGACAAATATACCTTACATACCCAACCATTAACGCATCATTGGGTCGAATATGCTTCATGTGTACAAAGTTGAAAGTTCTATTATATATCTGTTTTTTCACGCATTTTTTAACCGATATACACAAATTCTTACTTTTTTTGTTTAATTCAAACAATTTTAAAGTAGCCAAATTGCTATAATATGTATCAGAAATTATGCCGCCCGTCACCTAACTTACGACGAAAACTTTAGCGATGTTATGGCGATATTTCGTTTCATTTTACTACTGTGACATGGTTTGGTAGATAAATTTAGAATAAATGACTAACAGCCAGTTGCACAAAAGGTAATTAAAACTGTCAAGTTTAAAGCGACATTATCGATACAAATTTAACATTTATTAGAGCTTGAAAATGTCATTAAAACTTAATGGACGTTTGTGCATTAAAACGTAACTGACCATGAGTTGGTAACACTTAAATTCATAATGATCAAATCAAATAAAATATCGCCATAACATCGCTATAATATCGTCTCCTAAGGCTTGAGAGGGAGACTTTGGCGATTGCACTCCTGGCCTTGTAGCTTTGTTTTCTGGCGTGAAGATATGAGATAGGAATTTAATATAGCCATCGTATTGCAGCGCAATTTCGTAATGGAGGGGGGTGCAATGGTGCTAGCAGACGGCGGCGTTGTGTGTATCGATGAATTTGATAAGATGCGAGAGGACGATCGCGTCGCCATACACGAAGCGATGGAACAACAGACCATCTCCATTGCCAAGGTATGATTCTATATATGATTTCCATTACTTATTTATCTGTAAATTTAAATTGTGTTATCAAATGTGATTCTTTACACAAGAGAAGTTTTAAAGACTGACCATAAAATTTGTTAATATTAAAGAATGGCTTTTTGAAATTATAGTTAACTAGCTGTTTTCCTTTGACTTCGCACATGTTATTATATATGCTTGTGAATTCAAAGGAAAACTATGTCAACTTGAATTTGAATAGTGTTAGTCGCAAAATTTTAAATAAGCTTTCTATATGATTGATATCATGTTAGATAACTTTCACCTGATTTATCCTTTTAAGTAAAATATTGTGATAAGACTTTTTATTTTAACTTGTGATTAAACTCTATGAGATGTTGATTTATTGAAAGAACAGTGTAAAATAAAAAGTCTATTCCCATTCGATAATTTTTCGTTCTATGTATCCGCATTTACCATGACTTATTAAAATAACACAGATACAATATATCAATGTATAGTTTTTCAAAGATTAACTTAGTATCATCACAGTTGCTTTACTAAGTATTATTTAACAGGCGGGTATAACGACCACCCTAAACTCCCGATGTTCCGTATTGGCTGCCGCCAATTCCGTTTTCGGTCGTTGGGACGACACTAAAGCCGACGACAATATCGACTTCATGCCGACTATACTGTCCAGATTCGATATGATCTTCATTGTCAAAGATGAACATGACCAGGACAGAGATATCGTAAGTCATTTTGTTATTTTTATATATCGTGTAATTTCGTGTCTTTTCCTGACTGCATTGTGTGTAATAAGGTGTATTATAATAAATATTCCACAACATTACATTTATTATTCAGATTGCAAGATGAATAGCTAAAGCCCCCATATTATTTAGTACCTGAAAAGATACCACAAACCCAAATCCGAGACAACATTTAAATATGTTTATTTTCTACATTAATTCGACCGGGAATCGTACCGGCGTAACCATTCGGCCACGGATATTATCAATTCGTGATCACTGTCACGGTCAGCCTATTAATGTCTCCACTACAAGGAGAATGGGCTATGACCACACCACGCGGACCCAGTGCAAGCTTAACATGCTTTCTGAAGCACCGACGAGTTCGAGATAATAAATTTTTCGTCACTCATCCTATCACCGGCCATTGCAAAGGTTGGTTAACAACCGTATCTCAGACCGAACGCGTTAGCCACTGCGCCAAAGAGCTCCTCCATCGAGGTCGTCAATAAGGATGCCTACTAAATTTTTTTGTTTGTCTGTCGGGTAGATATATATTAAACACGTATTTTTTTATTAAATTACAACGCTGCATTGAATTAAAATGTCACTTGACGCTTTTGTACATAACACGCATAGCGAGTGCTCCACTCCTTCAGTGCTACTTATAAACAAGGTTAAGCGTTGGAGTAAATTTACGCTGAGACTGCTCTTTGTATTAGTCAAAATTCATATTAACAAAGGTTAACCTAGTACGAGGTTCTACGGGAGTTATATTTGCTCCTAGATGTTAGTAGATTTGCTTATTCTCTGTGTAATATGAATATGGACTAATACTAAAATTACAATTATAGCGGTAATTTACTCTGACGCTAAACCTTGTTTATAAGTAGCACTGCGTAAGTTTAATGCTTATATCTAAGCCATTTCTTATTAAATTGAACTGAAAAAAAAAATCCGTGTCTGAAGCGGGGAATTCACTATACAGGCATGCCCGCGGGCAAGTCTGCAGACATGCCTGCCAGACCTCGTTACTATAGGTCTGTGTCATGTCTGCCTAGTGTAGGTCCGTGGCAGACTTCCTGTGACAGGCCTACACTAGTCAGACATGACACAGACCTATAGTAACGAGGTCTCGCAGGCATGTCTGCAGACTTGCCCGCGGGCATGCCTAGTGAATTCCCCGCTTAATATCTTTCTATTATCCGACTGAGGGATTAAATAGCTTTTATTTATTGTAACCAGTCATCATACCTATAATTGACATTCAACAGACGCTAGCCAAGCACATAATAAGCGTCCACATGGGCGGCGGCAGTGCCGAGCGCGAGACAGCGGCGGGCGAGTTGCCGTTGAGCGTGTTGCGCCGTTACGCGGCGTACTGCCGCGGGCGGTGCGGGCCGCGCCTGTCCGCGCCGGCGGCGGAGCGGCTGCGCGCCCGGTACGTGCTCATGCGCACCGGCGCGGCGCAACAGGAACGGAGCACGGACAAACGACTCTCCATACCTATCACCGTCAGGTACCGTACACAATAACAGTTGTTTTCAATGCGGTTGCTAATAAAGCGCTATTATTTTTTAATCCATTATAAACACCGAAAGTGAGTCTTTAAACACGTGTTAAATAAAAATTTACTGAAATCCTTTACTGCACACGTGCTTAAAAGTTTTTTTTTTTTTTTGGCCGAGCACTAAAGAAATTAAAAAAAAAATATGAAAATATGTCAAACTTCAGAGGCAAAAGTATTTCAAGGAGCCTAGAACGAATATTTTCAAATAAAAACGTATGACACGAAAACATGTTCAAATATCACGTTTAATTATAACAAATAATTTTTACCTTTAATACATACTTAGTTTTATTAATCTATATATTTGTTTTATTTCTTCGCAAAAAGCATTGAAAATTTTTGTAAGAAACTTGAGCGTAAAAGGTTTTATGAATAAGGGCCAAATTGAAAAATGGAAAACCAAAATGGATATTTAAAATCTTTATATCGACGCTGGAAAGCAAACAAGTAGTAATCGGCAAAACCAAAATGGATATTTAGAGTGGAAAATCTTAATATTTTGCCAAAAATATCTCATTTCTGAATAAATAGACTAAGGAACGCCTTATTTGTTGCCATGGACGTTTATAGAAAGTTTTTCTGCTCTGAAGAACAATTTTTGCGGGTTACTACGTGTTTGCTTTCCAGCGTCGATTTAATCAATTTTACTTACAGCTGACAAATTTTTCAATAAACAACTTTTCTAGATATGAACTCTCTTGTGCCTAGTTCGTGCAGACTTTTAAATAATTGTTGTAAACTCGACATCAATTCAAACTCACTGAATAAATTTTAAAGATATTTAACAAATGAAACACTTGAAATTGTGCCTCTTGCTTCTCAAGAGATATAATTAAAATGATTTTATTATTATCATTTCAGGCAACTGGAAGCCATTGTACGTATATCAGAGTCGCTTGCGAAAATGCAGTTACAGCCTTTCGCTACTGAGGCGCACGTCACAGAGGCACTGCGACTGTTCCAAGTGTCTACTCTCGATGCTGCAATGACCGGAAGTTTAGCTGGTTAGTTAATTTTACTACGTTATTCACCGAGCACGAAGACAAACCCTATCTAGAAACTGATAATTTAAAAAATATCCAGCTTTAAAAAGGAATATCTAATATTTATCCACTAATATATTGAAAAAACTTCTATTAAAATCAAGCTATTACTATTCTAAATCTACTATATAGTCTCTCATTTGGGTTTACTTTCGTGTGGGATATATTACACTAATTTTATAACATTACCTTATATTTTAACACTTCGAGTTTGATTAACAATGGGTACAAAGTTTCTAACTTTGAATCATCGAAAAACCTCCTACAGGAGCTACATGATACGCTGGTGACAGGCTGTAATTTATGCGGACAAAGTAACAGCTAGTATTTTATATAAATATAATTAAATTGTTACAGGTGCTGAAGGTTTTACTACTGAAGAAGACCACGAAATGTTGTCACGTATAGAAAAGCAACTGAAACGGCGATTTGCTGTTGGTTCACAAGTGTCTGAGCAAACGATAATTCAGGACTTTCTACGACAGAAGTACCCTGAGCGAGCTATACTGAAAGTCATTCACACTATGATAAGGCGGGGAGAACTCCAACACAGACTGCAAAGAAAAATGCTATACCGACTTTCATAAGCAATTATAAAATGTTTTACTAATTATTTTGTCTATTAAACTCTTAGGCGTATACGGAAAAAATCTTTCATTTTGGAAAAATACAACAACTTGTACTATTGATGAATTTTATTCATTGAAAATAAACGCTACAATCACAGTACGCAAATAATTTTAATAATACATGGTTTTATATCAGTTTTACTGATTTTAGATTAAAGCTGAAATTCTCAACAAGACTTCTCATTTGCTTTATTAACGTCAATAAAACTAGAAGCGTTTACTTAGCACAATTCATATTCTATTATTTAGTTACTTCCGCTTCTGTTACAGGTAATTTAAAAGGATATTCAGGGTGTCTCTCCACTCCTTTCCAAAATAGAAAGTTGAAAATACGACCATCTTCACCCTTATCTAATTTCTTGAGGGTATTCATTTCGGGTGGGCTCAATTCGAAATCGTATATATCCATGTTTTCCTAAAAAAAAACAAATGCAAACATTAATGTATAAACGCAACTTTGTATCTATACTAATATTGTAAAGTGGAAAGATTTGATTATTTCTTTGTATATTTGTTTGCATTGATTAGGATCTGATCCAGCAGTTTAGGCCGTTTTAAAAGATACACTTCCTACATTGCACGCGGGTGACAGGCTATAATTTTCGTGGACAAAGCCGCGGGAAGACAGCAAGTATATATAAGAAGGTAAACAATATCCAACCTTAAAAATTTAAAGGATGATCCATTGCCTACTAATACATATTTCCGTGACCCTTAGTTATCAATTCTCAATAAAGAAATATTTAATCATAACATAACAATTTATTTGTATCAAATAAATAGCCATCAAAGGATTAGCGAACTAGAAAAAGCACTTTGGAGTAATTATTATATAAAAAGAGAATTTATAATATACCTTGAGCCTATTTTCACTGGTGCTTTTCGGAATGACTACGACTTTTTGCTGCACCAAGAAATGGAGTAGCACCTGCGCTGGTGTCTTGCCATGCTTCTCGGCAATGTCATTAACTTCCTTCAGGCACAGCAAGTCGGGAAAGACATCTGGGCTGAAAAAAGTCGAAAATTTGAAATGTTTGAAAACGATTTTCGATTGATCTAAAACATATTTTGGTGTTTCTTACATTTAAGTTATCATAACCCTTGTTAATACTGATATTCATTTGTGAATAGGTATCTTAGTTTGCTTACCAAATCTGAATAAAACCAATATGATAAAAAGCAATTAAGTATGAGTTCTATAGAATGGTACTTGTACGATGTATGACAATATCGGGAAAAATTTAGTAAAAATGTATGAGGGATGTATGATAAGTATTAAACTTATCATACATCCCTCATTAGAGTGTAGCTCCAAATATGAAACCCAAAAACCAATAACACACCTGTAATTGTACTTTGTAACAAAATGCGTCTTCGCACCAGGGCTCCCTAGAGGCGCGTACGCAGTCACCGCAATATCATTTTCAGCACAAAATTTGCGTAAGTCCACCTGTTGGAAGTAAGCGTGCAGCTCGACCTGAAGCACTTGCGGCTTGACAGTAGATGCTTTAATAATTTTTGTTATTTGATTTTCATTAAAGTTAGACAAACCCAAGTTGCGTGTAAGCCCTTTCTTTTGGCATTCTTCCATCTTCTGTACAAAAACATAGTGATACCTTTTAACAATCTAATTTCAAGAAACAGCATCTACCTACGCCTAATTTTTGTAATTAATCTCTACCCATATCCAATAATTATACGCTTTTTGATCACTTGCAGGCAGGACATTTCAACGCACGAACGTGAACGAGTCTTAAAAATTAATACATTGCGTCTAGTGAGTAAATTCATTATCCAGAAATCAAACCCGGAACTTTTGAAATCATTGCAAATTGTGATCTGAGATTGGAAAGTACCCACAACCCAAAATGAGAATATATGACTACTAGGTACTTATCAAATACTATTCCCTGCCAAGCCAAACATTAGCTTCCAAAAATCACTTTATAAACTGTATAAATATTTAGTTGGAGTTTCTTTGCGTGTTTTATACTTTATTTTAAATGTGTACAGTGGTTTCTTTAAATAAAAAGAAATTGTTTAGGGGTGTTTTGCCTTTGCTAACTAACAATGAAAGTCAACTTACAGTCGGATTGGCACGGTACAGTACACGCTAAAATACACAAATTATTCTTATCACATAACGTGCTACAATTTACTTACTTTCCAAGTTGTGATGTGGTTTGTTTCTTTATCTAATTCATAATCGCCAGTGTCCTTGTTGATTAATGGTGTGAACGTCTCGGGGTCGCAATAAAATGCAAACGGAACATGGATGAGATACAGATCCACGTATGACATTTGCAAGCGAGACAGTTGGAGATTCAAGAACTTCATCACATCCGACTCTCGATTGCCAACATGGGGAAGCTAAAAATAAATGATAAGAACAAAAATGATATTTTGCTGACGATCATAAATATTACGCCTGATATAAAATAATAGCAATGCAACTTTTTGTTGTCATGCAAATATTTGTCTGTCTGCTAATATCAGGTAAATATCAAATTAAAATTTTTAAGAAAACTCGTTTTTCCTAAACGTACACGATCGCTTACCTTGGTAGTGATAAATAGATCTTTACGAGTCCCTTTTCCGTCGTCTATCCACTTTTTAATGGCATTACCGATTGCTTCTTCGTTATTGTAGTTAAACGCCGTGTCGATATGTCTATACCCTAAATCTAAAGCCTTATACACAGTTGATTCTATAACATCTGGTGCAGCCTGGAGTAAAACAATATTATAGATGTATTCAATGAAATGATCCACGAAAACAGGTGCGATTTCATGAATGTCATCTGTCTGCCTGTGAATTCTAAATAACTTAACAGTTTTGTATACTGGAAATTAGTTTATAAGTGAAAGATCGATATTTTCTCGTAATCATAAAAAATAATTTCAAGGTAACAAATACACTAATTACAAAAGCAAATTTCATGAATGACAATAATTTCCCAACCTGCCATGTTCCTAAGCCTAATGTCGGCATTAAATCTTCTGTTTGAGATAGTGTTATGTATTTCATATTTCTGATATTTTGAAAATAATAACACAATGAGTGCCTTGAAATAAACCACACTCTCTTCCTACAGTTCATAAATTTTTATTACAGCTTACACTGAAATTTGGCAACTTGCCATAAAAAGTTCGGGAATAGCAGTGCTTGGTATGAGTTTTTTCTAAATATACTTCGATTTCTTGATCGAATTAAATCGAAGTATTAATAATGGCTAAACCAATGTTTAATATTTAAGAAGAAAAATTGTTTTATTTATTGATTTTTATCAAAGATTTTTAAGCAAAGACAATTGTAGATTGACATGACATAACAAAGTCACTATTTTGAATTTGCCGCTTCTCGCTTAGACTTCTCGTTTAATAAATTTTAAATGTCATAAAAATGATTTGCTAAAATACCGATTTAATTTTTTTAATAATAATAACTAGATAAACTTTTATTTTAACAAGTTCTCGAAGTGTTAATCAACGTCATTAAAACACTTTATTATGTTTATTTATTTTTTATTTTTAGAAACTAATTCTGCGATCAAACGATCTATGAAGAAACTCAAGACTTGTTAAGTATTATGTATAATCTATGACTTGTTACCGCTTGAAATGAAATGTAAAATGCTCAACTTTCATTTTTTACATTTCACAACTAAATACAAAAAAATATCAAAATGCCTTCTTAGTACACAACTACACGTCAGACTACCAAAATATGTCAAATTAATACAATTGATTAATAATGAAGTAGAAATTTGAGTTTTGTATAACCTGACGTTGACAATACATACATGTATTGATGTTATTTAAATACAGCACTGGCTGCCATTTTAGAACGATTTGTCTACAAATTGGTTTTTATATCACCATGGATTGTGTTCATGAGTAGTGTTATGGGAAGACAATCGACCAATACCCGCAGCACTAATTGAGATTTTCACTACGGGTAACTCTATCTGTCAGTTAACTGTCACTTTCGTTTTGACGTTGACGTTGGATCAGTTTCGCGTCCGTAGACAGAGAAAGCAATAGACTGTTATTTAGCGTGTCACCGTAAGGGACCACAAATACTCGTATCTTATCAGTTCGTTCATTATGGGCAGATATTTTGTTATCAGTAAAGGAAGAATAATTTGGCTAGCATAAAATGTACAAATATTCAGAAACTATTGATTGATTGATAGAATATTCTTTATTGCACTATGAAATACAGTAAGAAAGGTACATGAAACTTGATACAGTAACACAAAAGGCGGCCTTATTGTTAAGGTAGCAATCTCTACCAGGCGACCTTAGGCTAAAGGAAACGATAGCAATAAAGAAAAATTAACTGCGGGTTAGTGCAATAGGGGAAACAACACATGAGAACGTATAAAGTGCAAATATATAAATAAAACTTACGATAGTAAAGTAATAAATTGAAAGTTCAAGAGGAATAGTCCAGATTGAGGAAATATTCTTTTATCAATTTATTGAATGAGTTCCGTGATTGCGCGCGTCTAATATCTATAGGCAGAGAGTTCCATAGTTTGATTGTTTTAACTATAAATGACTTGGCTACGAAATCGGAATTGTGGGAAGGTGTAACTAAAGATAAATTATAGGAAGACCGCAGATCTCGGGTAAGATTCGTAGAGTGAAAGACGAAGCGCTCTTTGAGGTAATGCGGTGTGTGTGGGTGAAACAGGATGGAATATTGGAGATATGACAGTCTCTTCTACGAGAGATAGGTAGCCACTGAAGTTGGGTACGATAATCAGAATTATGATCATACTTACGTAGACCAAAGACAAAACGGATACACAAATTCTGCAGTCGCTCAAGTTTATTTAGGAGAACGACACTTAGGTCTGTATAACATGAATCAGCATAGTCAAGCAAAGGGAGAAGAAGTGACTGAGCAACAGTGATTTTAGTCTTAGTCGGCAAAAGATTCTTAAGTCGCTTAAGTAAGCTATATACACCAAATACCCTCGTACTAACCTCTCGGACATGAAGGCTCCAAGACATAATGCAATCAAATATGACACCAAGATTTTTTACAGACTGAGTGAAAGGTATACGATTGCCGTTTATTAAGATAGGTGGCAGTGTATCATAATTTAACCTTGCCTGATACCAATGACTTCCAATGATGATCGCTTGAGATTTTAGAGGACTGACTAACAGACCATGACGCCGACTCCAATCAAATATATGTTCAAGATCATTGTTAATGATGGTAATTGCAGTGGGTATTTCTTCCAACGCACATTGGCTATAAATTTGGAAATCATCTGCATACATAGGAAGCAGATAGAGGAAGGCCTATTGAATTAATGAAAATAGAGAATAGAAGCGGAGATAAAACGCCACCCTGTGGAACTCCGGCTGTTGTAACGCACCAAACTGAGAGAATATCTCCTACACATATGCATTACCGTCGCCTATACAGGTAACTACGAAACCAACCAATCACCTGTAGAGATACATTGAGAGAAACCAGCGTTGCTAACAAAATTTCGAAATCGACAGTGTTGAATGCATTAGTGAAATCTAACAACGGCAATATGGTGAGCTGCTGATTTTCCATTCCTGCGCGAATATCATCAGCAATCTTGACAACTGCAGTAGTCGTATTATAACCGGGACGGAAACCAGATTGAAATGGATTCAGAAGGTTGTTCAAGGAAAGGAATTTACTAAACTGTTGATAAACTAGCTTTTCAAGGACTTTGGAAAGGAAAGGCAATATGGAGATTTCGTAGGCACAGGCACTATATTTGCATCTTTCCATGCAGAGGGGTAAAAAGACGTCAAGATAGATTTGTTGAGGATGTTGGTAATTACAGGAGTTAGGATATCTAGAAGAGGAATTATCATATTACGACTAATGCAATCGCTACCGATCGCATTGGACAATATAGCGAGTATATTCTTCTCAATGTCAATTATCTACTTTTCTGTGACTTCACCTACGAAAATTATAGCATTAGTCACTAGTAGATAAAGGAATTAGTAATGGAGGAACATTTTTTTTATATTGTAGAAATATTGATAAACTGTCTATTAGCTTAAACTAGCTAACCCATTTAATCAATCTAATAACTCCAAGCAAATATTCTAGTCCCATATTTTGTATTGAAATACTGATAAATAGTGATATCCAGAATCTTAATAATTATGGATGGAAAACAAATATGTAACGCCTGCCGCGATATTAGACTTTGATTCGCAATTACTCAGATTCTGGGTTTCATTACCTCAAAACAGTATTAGCAGATTACGTATTAGTGTTTTCGAGGTATGGGCGTTTGTGCACCACCGCCTTCGATACATACAATACAAATGATCGAAGACCCGAAAGTCCCGTGACGTCATCTTTGATGGACACTCAAGTTAGCCAATAACAAATTCGAAGTTTGACAGGTATTTGATGTCAACTTTGTCAGTGGCTATCAAAATTAGTTGTCAACAAAGTTACGCAATAGCCCTGCTGGTCGATTTCATAAAGATACTAAACGGTGATCGTTAGACCACCACGATGCTTGCGATGCTTCGGTAGTTCAGTTAGTTATTAAAAACCCGCGCGGTACGACGCGACTAGTGACGGCAAAGGCAAACCAACAGTGATAAATAAACCGGAGGCGCAATAGGGTATTTGATACTTTTCTTGTTGTTTGCTACATTATAAACACACTGTCATAATATTTCATTGGAATCTTTTCTATTTTTGGTGAATATAATTGTTAAAATTTAAATAGCCAAAAGCGCGCGAAAAACGCTGCTCTATGTAATGGCGCTGATCGTGACGTCACAGGCCAGTAAATATGGCAAATCGATAAGTAACAACTGTCTTTAGAGTAAATTGAAATAATAATTTAGAAGAGAAATTGAAGTTATAGTGCGTATTTTTTACGTTTTTTGTTTTCCTCTATCTGTCCGTTGTGACCGTCAAAATTAAAAGAGTAAATGTTTGTTTATGTATTAAATATACCAGAGCGACACGATAACTTTCGCTTTCTCGTTCTGTCTGATGCGAAGGTCAATTTTGTTCGACTCCGTAATACTTTTGTATTGATACCGAGTAAGAATGTCACGATTGATTTGACGCTATTAGTACTACGCACCGAATCAAAAGTATCAAATAATAACTCGTATTTATTAGTATCTGAATGTCCTTATTCATGAAATTTCATTTTAATTTTATTCACAACTATGAAAAGATTGAAATTTGGCGAAATCTAAATCTTCTCGCCTTAGAAGGCTTAATAATATACTAGTCAGTTGTCTAAGCAAAGACTTGTGTTCGCGAGTGAAAATGAATGAGGAAGTATTTAAAAATAACGAAAGCACTAAAAAAGCATCTCCACTAGATGGCGATTCTAGCGAAAGTTGATTTTTGCAGGAAACAAATGGACCAAAGACAGTCAGTTCCATTCTTTTTAACTAACATATTAAAAAAACTAAAATTTGAAAAGTTCGAAACTTAATTAGATATTAATACAATTACGAAAAATAACAAATAGAATATGAGTTGTTTATTGAGTTTTGAAAACTAATTTACTTTAAACATGAAAGAAAACTGGAAGGATTGTCATGGAAAAATCAAGAAAGTACTGTCAATATCAAGAACATCTAGTTTGACTTCGGGAACTAATGTCTTTTTTTTAAATACTTCCTCATCGTATAAAAATATTAATGTCAAATAATGTCCCCTGCCGCTTAGAAGACTTCTTGAAAAAAAAAACAGAATATTTTGTGCCTATATATAAATATATATAAAATCTTTCAATGAAAAAATTTATAATCGAAATCGAAGACCGTGCAAACAAATGTTTGGCTTAAAGAACTTTGCGTCCAAGCCAAAAAAAAAAAATTTAAAAAAAAATGAAAAAAATGAAAAATGAGATTGACGTTTAAACGAAAAGCACTTAATTAAGCATGATTTTAATTAGTGCAAAAGCGCTGTTTCAGAAAGAAAGAAAGAAGAAAAGTATGCTAATGCTTATTGTACGCCCCGCCATCTATCAAGATATAACTACTAGCTTCAATAAATTTTTCTGTTTCGGCATTTTTCTATTAGAGGGCAAACCTTTCCATAAATGCACTTTTATAATAATAATAAATATTTTTTATTGCACAATAGAAAAGAGACAATATACAAAAATCTTACGCAAACATAATAACAATACCGTACAATAGGCAGCCTTATCGCTTGATAGCGATTTCTGCCAGGCAACCTAACAAAGTACATAAATTTAAGTAATAACAAATATAAGCAGTTAGTGCAAATCTAAAATATAATAATTACGCGGACAAATAGAACAAAAGTTATAAGTTCATACAAGTGACAAAACAAATAGATATATAAAGCGTGAAAGCATACTAGCGACGAACAAAGTGCGACATGTGGGCGAGGAAAGAGAGAAGAAGAGAGAAAAAAGAAAAGAGAAGAAGAAAGGAAAGGAAGATTAATCTTCAGACGCCAACACATAAGCCAGATAGTAGCGAAAATATACCACAATAAGCAGTGTCAAGCTTTATTACTTTTGCTATTACAGATGACGTTATGGGTTTATTTTGAATAAGAGAATTTTAAAATTAAAATAATGTTGTAAGCTTACTAAATTCTGTATAAAGTTTGCGATATTTTTTCAAGCTGAATAGTAAGCAAGAGTAGAATCTGTTAAACAAGCGATATTCAAATAAAAGTAATTGAAACAGCTATTATCTGCACAGTAGCTGAAGTTTTTGCATTGTCTTGTATAACATATTTAAGCAAAGCAGTTAAACAGCGAAACGCTGAATATTAGACGAAATATTTTCTTTAAGCTGCATAGTGTACGAAATGGTACTAATTTATTCAGATGCTGAATATTTTAGATTTTTTCTTCTTTACACAGCTGACTTCTGCATAATTGAAAATAAACTCCTTGTTTTACCTAACTTATAGCGCTATAAGCGTACAATTGTCTTTGTGTTAAGCTTAAAACAATATCAGTTACAAATGTGGGTATCTTAAGCAGCAAATAACTGATTAGTTGAAGATATCGTATGTTTATATCCAGATATTTCACAATTTTGTGACCAAACTGATAAATACTGCATCAACAATATGCCTCCTCAGAAAATAATAACAAAAGCGTAAATGATTCATGGACAAAAGAAAAAGAACGGGAGGAATAAGAAGAAAGTATTCACGAGAGTATGAAAAGATAAAAAATAGTATCTGTGCAGTAATAGAAAAGGGTTTGACAACTAATACAAATAGGCCCGAGTCAAGAGTGCGACTAATACAGTTGAAGAGGGTTCTGTACATGATGATTGTGCAACACCATCAGGATTAGTGATTCAAACAAATAGAACGGGTCCAACTTTAGATGCAGATAACGAGAGTTATATGCGTGACATGTTTGCATATCAATCACAATTTCATAGTGATTCAAGTTCTACTGATTTGGAAGAAAACTCAGTATTTAATAAAAAATATTATTATTATTTTCAATAAATAAAAAATTATGTTGTTCTAATTCCGATCAGTTCGTGTTCAACATTTGAAATAATTCTTCCTTAGCTTTCCTCGGGTTCTTGCAAAGTAGCTCGCCTTTTTTTGGCCAGTATAATACTCCTTTGTTTTCCCTAGAAGCGGGCACTGTTTATAATTCAACTCGGCCTTTTTTATAAGTCGAAACGATTTTGAACATGTTTCTGAAAAAAATATACAATTTTTCTATAACACTTCAAAAATACTACAACACTATTATAAATACTAACATTATATAATAAATCTCGATGTTTACGTTTGTATCTTACTTATTGACTACATGAGCGCAACAAGTCCGAGTGTATAAAAAGTACCTACATTAGTATAGGTCCCATCAACCTCAAATATTCATGGATTTATTTTCTATAAAAAAGAACCCTAAAAAGCTGAATTAGAGTATACTGCATTATGTAATTTAAGACCTTTCTCTGAGAAATGTATAATTATTGTACTTTAAACCAAATAATTTCTGGATATGTAGTCGTATGTGAACTATTATGCAGAAATAAGCAAAATAATCACTGAAATAGACACTTTTATTCAAATAGGCCGTCCGCCATTAACTAACGTTCGACATAACCTCTTCTTATAAAAATCTTCAACATTTATCTTATGAAACGCTTTGTTTAGTGAGCAGGAAACATTAGCAGTTATACAAAATTTGATTCTCATTATTTTCTGGGACTGAAATTTGATAAAAAGTAAAGATAATTTAATTTAAATATTATTTCACATTTGTTTACCTTTTAATTTGTAGCTTTATCTGAAGGCGCTCAAAAAATGTATAATAATCATATTGATAATTCACAGTAAAGTGCCATGCGTTTATATAATTCACCTTAAACTCACTTAAAATGTATGAAACAATTTGCTTACCAAATTTTTGAAAACGTGAATTGGCGACCATTACAATATTTTGAAGTAAGTAACACAAAATAATCTCGTCACAATGAAAAATACATTTATACTTTTTTTACTTGCATAATTTCTTTGTAAAACTTCCCCTGAGATCGGAATTGTGAATATCATTTGAATATCTGAACTCACAAATTAACAACTGCATAAGAGATGTATAATTTCTGGACTAAAGAAAAAACAGAATTTATGCAGAAGATATTCAGTGTGTTGTACATTTATTCAGCTGCTATGTAGCTATTAATCAAATGTTATCCAAATTGAAGCAAGATATTTTGTGCCCAAATTGCTTGAATATCATCTGTATAAGCGCTTACACAGAAGTTATACAAATACTTTATCCAGCTTAAAGTCAAAAGAATTGCTTTTACGCAAAATTTATTCAGCTAATCATATCCCTTCGTCGACGGATGGGAAGCCACTGGAGTTGCTTACGGAATTCGGAAACATGGTCATATTTACGTTAGTCAAATATAAACCGTATTGAGAGATTTTTGAGACATTCAAGTTTATTTAGAAGGTCGACTGTAAGGTCAGGATAACATGCATCAGCATAATCAAGAAGAGGTAAAAGAAGTGAATGCGCTAGTGTAATTTTGGTTGAGGTAGGCAAGAAATTACGCAGTCTCCTAAGGGAACCAGACGCAGCAAACATCCTCCGGCTCACCTCTGCTAATTGTTGACGCTAAGACAACGTATTGTCAAGGATTATACCCAGGTCCTTTACAGCATCAGCATAAGGCACACACACCCCATCAAATTTAATTGGGGGTAATTGGTCAGTTTTAATCCTAGAAATATAAAAAGGACTACCGATTATAATACATTGTGTCTTGCAAGGATTTACTTTAAGACCAAAAGAGTTACTCCAATGGACAATTTGATCCAAGTCTGAATTAATAATGCTTATTGCATCAACAAGTAGAGATTGAAAAATTGAAAATTTTTGTGATGACAGGAGTGAGGATATAAGGAACGAAAATGCACTATATTATACTATTACGCGTGATATCCAACTAGACTTTTTGCAACAACTTTTTTGGTTGGTTAATACAAACGCTTTTTTAAACAGAACTTATACTTAAAAAGCAGAAATTTATACTTAAAAAATTGCTTTTTAAGTACATTTTCGTTGTTGAAGTAAGTGTATGTTGTGTTGAATGTTAATTAATTGCGTACGTTGAATTGTATCCGTAAATAAATTGCTTTTTAAGTAATGTTTTTTGTTTATTTCTAAATAAACAATGTAAATAAGTTTTGTTATGAGGTGATGGTGTATATATAAAACATACTAAATATTATTGAACTGCATTAGTTTTAAGATTGTGCAAATAAAATGTCGAGAAACGGTAATAGTATTGTGGTCTTGTATCATACTTAAAAACCTTCTTTTTGAATCACCCTATCTATGAAAAAAAAAACCGCATCGTAGTTTTAAAGATTTAAGCATACACAGGGATATAGGGACAAAGAAAGCGACTTTGTTTTATACTATGTAGTGATAACACAATATTGCACGCTTATTATAACGATTTTTAAACGTCAGTTGAAAAAAAGCGTTTAAACAATAAGCAGTTTTTAAAAACGCTTATTAAAAATCGTACAACGTAACAACACTTAAAAATTTTAAGCAGTTGTTTCCACCTTTATTTGTTAAATGTTGTAGCAAAATGCACAAGCCGTGCCTGCCATATTATACAAAGAAAAAAAAATGTTGTTGTCAATTGTTGTCAATGTCATGATTGTCTTAAGTCAAATCATGTTACTTTATGTTGTTTTGTTTGGGTTTGTTTGTGATATTTGATATTTGATAAAGTTACGCTTAAATTACGCCATCTATCAAGTTTTTTTTTATTTATGATGATACGTAATCATTCAAGAATAATTCATTAAATACGACAACTATTAATTGGCTTGTTTTTATTTAATACAAAAATCAACAAATAAAATTCCCGCCAACTGATTTACTAGCAATTTGTGTTATATACATTTATACATTTTATACATTTATTCATTAAAATGGGGGTAAGCATTTATTAAATCAACCTAAATGTTTATAGTAATAGAGCTATGCAGAACGTTTTTATTAGAGGATGCCTTAATTAGACGTTTTCCAGATGAAATCATGATGATGATGCTTAAAGATATTTTTATATCGTTGGGGGGTGGGGGGTGTAACTGAAAGGACGAATTAAATAATTTACTTATTATCAATTTTATATGAAGTAAATTACAAGCATTGATTGTATCTTTGAAAAATAACAAAATTATTTTGTATATATAGTTTCTTTAATATGTGCTTTTTAAACATCAACATTTTTTATGTTAGATGACAGTAAGATGACTTATTTTATTATAATTCCAGAAAAAGACAGCTGCTTCAACTAGTAAAAATAAAGACAAACGTCACGCAAGGAAACTTGAGCAAAGACGTATTGCTGATGGAATGAGCTATGTAACGTTGGCTAATAAACTTACAGACTTAGCTCCATTGTGTAAAGATCTACTAGTTTATCAAAACAAAAACATTGAAGTTAACATGTATATACAAAAGATCACAGACCTTGACAAAAATATATTACAATGGGCTATTGATTTAACAGAAAGGAATATGAAAAAATTGTGAGTATACTGTAATAGTAATACATCAACTTATTTTAAACAAATGTGACACAATGACTATTTTATCAGCCGAGTAAGTACCCAGTACCCAATTTTCTGCTGCTGAAAAAAGCTGAAATGCACAACAATATATTGCAGGATATGTCATGCTATGAAAATGAAAGAAGACTAAAGATAAAGATGTTTTATTTTTCAGCTAAAAGCAACAGAAAAATAATAAAAAATGATATGATACTTTGAATTTACTCATTGAAATACTGTTTATTAAAGTAGGAGCACTGTTTATAAATAGACCAAAAAAATAGTTTTTAAACTCATAATATTTCTATTATTTAACAGTGAAGTATAAATCATTATTTTACAGGATCTATAACAGATAATATCTATTCAAATAAACAATAATTATAATTTAAATTTACAAAAATGTTGAGACATTAAACATTTGCTTATATTGTATTAAACAACATATTGGCGCTGGTAAGTCAAACATGGTAACTTGTAAAACCAAAATTGTTCTTAACAGACAAAAAATATTTTTTTTTCTAAAAAAAAATATTATGTATTGACTTAAGGTTACCATATTTATTACAATGCATGTTAATAACATTATTTTGTTTTGTGGACAAACGATTTAGGTTTTGCAGATTACTACATGTTCGTTTTCCAGTGTCATTATGTTCTATCATTAAAGAGAAAATTAAACCGGACTGATATTTAAAAGGTTATGGCCTAACATAATGAGTGCAGTTTTCCTTCTTAGCTGCCACATCAAAGTTTCTTTGATTGTTGTGATGGTAAAATCTTAGAATGTCTATCATAATATTGGTGAGAAAACCCATATTATTAGACTAGGATACTTTTATCAATGAAAAGAAAATATCCAGTTATTTGCAAATTTGTTACAGATATGAAACCTGCGCCTGGGGTTGGAATAAAGAACGGAAAGTTGAAGAAATGACTGATGATAATGCATTTTATTTAATTGCTAAATCTAAAAGTGGTTCACTGTTAGCATTTTCTCACTTTCGATTTGATATGGACTTTGGAGAGCCTGTTCTATATTGGTAAGTTATGAAATTGATTATTAATCTGTAATCTTGGAGAGAGAGATACCTTGAAATGCTTTTAGATACTGTTAACAGCCATTAATAAGCATGACGGGTCATGGCCCATTCTGCCTATTCAATTCCAGCCATAGGGAGGTTGTGTGCCCTGTGGATATATTGAGAGGCTAATGAGTTGTCACTGAGTTATTTTTCTAAGATTTTTTCATATTAATATAGTCCAAATAGCTATTTAAAGTTACCTACTTGAAAAATAGGATTTTCCAGAAATACAGTTTATATCATTGTGAATGTGAAATTTATCAAATGTAAAGATAGTCTATTAAGCTAGTTCTTAAATAAAAATTCAACTAAATAGGAATTTTATATTTTATAAATATCTTAAATATATTTATTTACAGCTATATAATACATTTATTGAGGTTACAATATCAGTTAGTTTTAGGTTTGAACCTCCAAAGTAAACAAAGGAACACACTGAAATTTCTACCAACCCTTTTTTCTAACGAAATTTTCTCATTGGGCAACCACTTAATACATCTCGTACAGAGATACCTAAACAGTTTATAGAGTATATATATCGTCATTATAGAGATAGCGATGCCTAGAACACCCACGTCTAGGAGAAGGTATTGAGTTAATGTTAGATCGAGTGCCGGAGACCTAATATGAGGTGCGCCTTTATGCCGTAGGACATATTCTATCCAGTAGATACCAGTTTCTAAAGGCGGCATAGGTCTGTCGATAAATATTTCCCTTAACTTCAACATGTTCTCTTTGTACCTGCAAAAACGAAAACTATCATTAAAATATTAGCAATTTTAGTGTTCTCATTGTTAGTTCATAAATACAACAACTAAAACTTAAACCCCAGTCAATATAGAAAAGTTCGTTTTCTACATTATAATCGTCCGTGATTCAAACCCGGGACCTCCGAGATGGCGATACCAAAAAACTGGTATACGAGCCCCTTGGCTATGGAGGAATTTATATTATTTAACTATTAGTATAAAAATAATACCCCTTGTGTTATACCTACTACGGAGATCTATTTTTATGGATCATAATATCAAACATCACAGCTACAGATAAAAACATCGAAAGGTTCGATTTCAATGCACGTTCCAATCAAACGAATATTTTCCGCTGATGCCTCATACCCAAGATTTAAGATTAAAGTAAATACCTGATCTCATGATATTCTGGATTTTCAATATTCCAAACTCCAAACAACTAAAAATGTTACCTGGTGTTTCTCAGTAAGTCACGAAGTGCCTCTCTCCAGTTAAATTTGTTGGAATCCTTCAATAGAACAGTCCTAGAAACACCTCGGTCACTCATAGCGCGTGCGTTTAGGGCTTGGTCAGCGTACAGGGGCACTGTTAACATCGGCACGCCACACGCCACTGCTTCTTGTGTGCCAAGCAAACCTCCGTGGGAGATGAACAATTTTACGTTACGATGACCTGCAAGCAATTATGTAGACAATCTAAAAATCAAGTTCTTTTAAATGAGGAAGTATTTTAAGAAAAAAAGAAAGCACTAAAAAGCACCTCACTAGATGGCGACTCTAGCAAAAGTTGATTTTTGCAGGAAACGAATGGACCAAAGATAGTCATTTCCGTTACTTTTAACTAGCATATTAAAAAACTGAAATTTGCAAAGTTTCAAAGATAGATATACAAATATGAAAAAGTACAAATAGAATATGTGTTGTTTTTTGAGTTTCGAAAATTAATTTACTTTTATATATGAAGGAAAACCGGAATAATTGTCATGGAGAAATCAAGAAAGTACCGTAGCGACATCTAGTTTGATTACGGGAACAATTTTTTTTTAAATACTTCCTCATTCCGAGACATTCGAAATGTAATCAGAATATCGGTCATTTTGTTAGTGTTTCGCAATCGGCATATTTATACTCGTTTGTTAGTCACGTAAAAATATGTTCATTTATTTAAATTCGCTGTTTCTTTATAACTGCGACTTCGCAGTCACTAAATGAGATTCTAGGACAGGCATACTTTGATAGTGAAAAAGGACGGCGTTATTGTATTTAAATCAATTTTGAAGTCATTACTCGGAGAACTTATAAAATACGTCACGTTTATTCTAAAAGTTCTTCGTTGAGACCTCGGCTACTCGCATATACATTAATTTTATCTATTACGAGAAGAAATGAAAATATACTGATATTTAGAGGCAACTCTGAGACAAATTGTAAAGTTTTCCAACTTACACAACGTCGCGTACTGCGGTATCCAATCCATAGTGTAAACATTGTCAGGTACAGTAAGGTTGGCGGCGAGCCTTTTCCGATCCATTTTCACCAGTACAGTTTGACTGAGTTCCGACATTGCCTCGAAGATCTCTGTCAATTTATTACGAGGAATAGTTTCTATTCTCGACATAGAACCAAAACTCCAATAGATCACTCCTTCGTTTGATGCATCCAGAAGTGATTTTAATTCCTAAATGTTAAAATTGTCACTATTAGTTATCCCAAAATACTTTTGATTTAAAAACTCTTCGCTAATTATAATATTTGATCAATTTTGCATTTACAATGCTATACTGGAAAATATTCTTAATGAAAAATGTTTAAAAAATCAATTAGCCCCAGGCAATCTTTTCCAGTATAGGATTGTGGATGCAAAAGATCAATTATAATAATTAGCGCAAATTTTCATCTTAATCGAAAATTTAAATATTTGTAGAAATATTTCTTTCGGCTATTTGGGTGGATTACTTGAACATTGATTGATAACAAATTCGTCAGTTCTGTTGGGTCCTGAGTAGCTTAATGGTTAGAGTACTCGGATTGTAAAAGGTCGTGGGTTCGTTTAGATGGGCCTCTAACCCACAGTATCAGTATCAGAGTATCTGGGGCTTGTGGTGGTTAAATAAAACCACAAGATAAAGAAAAATAACTAACTAATCAAGCTCATTGATATTTTCGGTTGTTGAGTAGGATACTGATAACACAACTTTAGGTACCTCTTTGAATCAGAGAAATGTAATCTAGTATGCATTACGTTTTACGATATACACTTATAAGAAGGGGTTAATAAACAACGACGTTACTAAGAAGACACTTCAATCATTTACAGAATTTAATGAAGTATATCGTTGTTTACATAAACTTTAATTAAGGAACTCGACAAGAAAATCAACGGTAATTTGACTACAATCGATATTCACTTGACATTATCTGAAGTTCCAAAGGGCTTAAGGTCCTGGGTCGTTCTGATAGTCGGAACCTCTATTGTACGTCCGATATGGGTTAATAGTCTAGAACAGGTCAAACCACACACAACTTACACTACGCGTGCATAGATTTTGCCTATAAACAAGTAAATATTGTACCATTCTGTTACATAACTTTTAATATAGGTAGGTAATTTTATTTTAATCAAATTTGCAATTTTGAATGATCCATTAAATTTTAATCTAACTAAAATCTAATGAAATCATGTATGTGATCGGAATGAAATATCATTACAGATTTTTTTTAAGTTTAATGGGGAACGCGTTTGAAGTGTTATTTCAATACTTGTGGCTTGGTTCACTAATTTTTTATAATAGGTTGGGGACGAAGTTTCTTCGCATTTTATATGAAAATTCAAAACATTTTAAATAAAGTTTATTTACATTTAACTAACATCAGTATCAATTTCTTAGGGACATGCTATAGAAATTTTGGGGCTTCCGATCAAAAAACCGCGACAAGTTGTTTTGGCAGGTCTCGCGTGGTGTTAACCTGACACTGCCTAAAGAATTCTGAAGAGACCGAAACAGGTCGGAAGGTGCGAGATCGGGATTATACGGCGGATAAATTAACACCTCCCAGCCAAACTCTTATTTTTTGTTGAGTGGCAAAAGATGTGTGAGGTCTAGCGTTATCATGATGGAAAACCACACCCCTTCTATTGATTAATTCTGGCCGCGTTTTCTCAACTTCCTGCTTTATTCTCATCAGTTGTTTGCAGTAGAGTTCAGAATGGATGGTCCTGCCTGGCGGTTACGCCTAATAATGAATAATGCCCTTCCAATCCCACCATACACACAGCATCACCTTGATGCGAGTTAACCAGAGTTTCGCCACAGCCTGTAAAGCCTGACCGACTTTTGACCACGACCTTATTCGCACGTTTTTGTCGTACGTGACCCACTGTTCATCATCAGTTATCAGCTTCTTCAAAAATGGTTCGGTTTCATTACGCCATAATAAAGAATCACAAATGAGTACACTATTTCATTCAGTGAGTTCGTGAGGTACCCAAATATCCAACTTTTTTGTGTACCCAGTTTTTTTCAAATACGCCAGAACTGATTTGTGGTAAATTTTCAGATTAGCACCCATTTTATCCGAAACAGGGCGACCGGAGCGACGTACATCTTTGATATGAAAATTTAAACGCTTAAACCAAATAAATGCTACTCTCACAGAAACTGCACTAGGTCCATAAACGTCATAAATTTTTTTCGCGGCTTGTGTTGTATTTTTACGTTTTTATAATAAAATTTTAAAAGTCTTGAATAATCAAACTCATTGTGATAGAAAGAAAACAAATGAAAATCACACATTTTCCTAATTTGAATTCGGAGTTATTTTCTTTAAAATTTAAACTTTTTAATGAGCTCGTTTCGAACGAGCTAGACACAAATGGTATAGCCAGAAAGATTTTATTACAAGTTTATGAATACTATATGCGAAAAGACTTTTTCCCCAACCTAATATAACGTTATTACTTAGTGACTTTTATTGTATCAAGTGTCAGATACTCTGATGACCCAGTGACTTGCACATGATATACAAGTATAAAACATGCTTAACAAGGATAAGATATTGGTTACTGCAGTGCAGTTGCTCAGTAACAATAGCAATGATAATTTTAAGAATTTTTACAACTTACCCCACTAAGTTTTTGAGATTCGTCTAAATGTAACCCTCCAACTTCTATTAAGGCGGGTACTAATGGACGAACGTCATTTATGCTGAAATGACTGTTTGATATTACTAAACTGTAATTTTTTGCCAAACTGTCCAACTTAGTTCCAAATCCAAACAGTCTGTCAGCTATCACCTATGATACAAAAAAAAAATTTAGATAAAAAAGAATAAACGCTATAAAGATAATTGATACATATTATAATTGATATATCCCTCACTCTCTATAATGATTGTTTCCGTGGAAACAATGCGATAAAAATATATTTTAAAAATCTTAATCGAAAAAGCAACTTTAGGTATAAATTTCGCGCCAAATCGTCGACTGCTTTTCGTGTTTGCGAACGAGATATTTATATGTGTTCAATTGGCATTAATATATTGTTATTAAAAAAGCTATAATACAAAAAAAAACACTAACTTGGGAAGGAAGCTGAGACTTGTATTTATATAAAATCTTTGCCCCGATCACTGACATCGTATTAGCAAATCTCTCCCATAATGTCATATGCTGTCCAAAGCCAGTCATGTAAGCTGGTACATAAGCAGTAGCTTCTGGATTACCCAATTGTTCGTTGAACCATGGTAGTGGTACACTAGATAAAAGTCCAACAACTGGAGCTTGAAATCTTTGTCCTAAAGGAAGGAAGCAATCACTTCCGAAGACTTCAACGATTACCAAATCAAACGTTGCCGACGAATTAATGAGCGCTTTCACGGCCGGTATTCTTGAAACGACATCGCAGGCCTGCACGCATTCATTCATAATGCTCTCCAAGTTCTGAACTATGTCTGGTTTCCAAGAGTAATTTTTTTTGGTTAGGTTGTTGGTTATTTCGGGTATAGTCCCAGCGAGACTGATTTCTTCATAATTAGGCGGAGAATTTTTCTACAAAAAAAAATGTTTATGGTTTGGAATAATCTGTTACATCATTGAATTTATCAGTCGGTTTACTGTAGACTGAATCGCGTGGCACTGATAAGACCATGCAGACAGCGGGGTGACGAACCGTGCGACACACGTTACTATCTAACAGTGTTAGATTGTATTTTTTTTATTCTCCTTTTTGCCCTGTACTGATCACGCTAGTCTACCGCACACCGATCGACACAATTTGCCATAAAATAATGACATTAGCAACGATCCGAATTAACATGATTCGGTTTGTTGCACACTTAAAATTAAAATACCTAAGTACCTATTTATTTTAGTGGTAATATTTAAGGATAAAATGACCAGTGCACATGGCTTTACAAATGTAGTTATCTAATTATATATATAAAAATGAATAGCTGTAATGTATCTACGCGCATAACTTCCGAACGACTGCACCAAATCAGTAGGTACTGGAGAAATAAAATATGGCGGTCCGAAGTTCGCCGGGTCAGCTAGTAATAAATAATTTTGTTCATGTCGTAGTTAAGTTAGAAATAATAATTAATCCTTAAACCTGAAAATCAAAAATTATGTTTGGAATTCGAAACTCGAATGCAATTTCGGAAGTAGGTACTTAGGCTGTTTTTGAGCGAACTGAGCTCAAACTTATTGTACGTAGTACTGAGATCGTCTTCGTTTATTATACCTATATATGTAGCCCAAATATCAAACATTAATATTTTTAGGAACCTTTTCTTCTTGAGGAAGAGAATAAAGTATGTATATAATTCGTAAAATAAAAAAATATATATATTACACTATATAGCACTACAAAACCAAGTAATCGAGTATTTATCCTGTTCGCATATTTCGTAATTATCGCCGAAAATACAACAAATTATAAAAGATGTTAGGATACGAAAAACATGTTTGACCGACGTAAAATTAAATGTCCTCAAGTTCACCTACCTTTGTCATTCTGATCGAACTTTATTATCACAAAAACAGAGGGACATATGATATTTGCATGCAATTTGAATCATACAGAAATTATGTAGTAATCGATCATTAATACGAACGATTATTAATGATCGATTACATTGTCCTAACTTTAAATCAATGAATTATTCAATTATAATCATTCAATTATTTTCAAAACATTTTAATGTTAGTAATGGCGAATCTTTTTTATATTTCAATAAAATAATTATAAAATATACAATAAGCTTTCATAAAATTATATTGTCATACATTGTAAGTATTATTTAAATTAATATGAAAATTTTTATATAAAAAATATTTTATGATATAATTAAAAAAAAATTAAATTTAAGATATTAAATAATGTAAATTAACTTTAAAAAATAGTTAATATGCAATAATAGGTACGTTAATAATGTTTTGAATGATAAGACACTTTGTACATTTAACTAAATTAATATAAAGACAAATTAAATGTTTAATTTTAGGTCGCTTTAAAAGAACAAAATAAAAAAAAAACTTACCATGGGAAAATGACTAATGACAGTTAGGTGATGTCGCCGTTTCGTTAGTGCTTCTACTAATTTCCCATACATGGCATAGTGGCTTCTAGTGTTAGTTGGTAGCACGACTAGGATTCTCGCGGCCTGCGCCGCCGCCAGAACGGAGAACACCGCCACCCAAACCGGCACCTGCATCTTTGGGCAGCCCGCGTCTGTTTGCGTCGGCTAGCGTGCCGGCCATTCGGAACTCGCTTACACTACGCTCGCTTGATAACAGATGACATCACCCTCTTTAGAATCCGCCAAGGATGATAAACTTTCTTCATTCAACCACCGATGTGCTCAGTGATCAACTTTCTCGATATTCAGTGTAATCTCGTAATTTCAAGTTATATCAGTTGCTTCAGAGGACATTCATACAGGAAAGTTACGGTTCGATTTCCACATGCGGAGTTGAAGTGAAGTGAGTGTGTGTCTTATAAATTAATGTTTAACAAAAAATAAATATATTTTTAACTAAAAGTTTAAAACTCAAATTCTTTATACAATAAAACATGATAACATAATGTGTGAGTCGAGTTTTTAGTATAATCGCGTTACAAGTAGAAGCCGCATTTCGAAAATGTGGCAAACATTTATTGATGAAAACATGATTTCGACTGATGTTCCTAATAATTGGATTGATGTTGAATTGTTTAGAAAATAATCTAATTAACTTTCGCATAAACGGTGCTAGCTTAAATGTTACCGTATGTGGTTTCAATGTGTAATGTATTGTAAATTTATTCTCAACCCCTGTGCTTTATAATATTCGGAAAAGGATGTTATTTCTATAGAGCTTTTGCCTTCTAATCTATAAAAAGTGCTCTCCTAATATGAGATTATTTTATTTAATTATTTAGGTAACAAACAGTCACATAAAATTTTGAGGCTTTTGAACAGTTCAATAGTATTATAAATTGATCATACCAATATTACAAATATGCATGTAATTAAATTTTTTATATTAGCATTATTGTTAATAAATTTTCTGCTAACAAACGATCTTCAATCATTGCGTAATTGATGTTTTGCAATTTTTCATTTGAATTTAGATGAGTGTCACATTGGAAAGACGGAACAGATCTATGCTCGACCAAATAAAGGTTTACCACCTATGAGCAAGGGTATAAATATATAGCTTATTAGCTGTTTTTTTAGGACTTTGTCCGTATAAATTGTAACCTGGTGAAATTATTTTTAGGCGCTGAAACTGTTAAGAAATTAATAGTTTCGGCGTCTGTTTAATGCAAACAAACAATAAAATGTATCCAGTTTATTATATTAATGTACACAAAACTACTCACAAGCAACTAGATACACATATTTATTTTAAAAAAACATTAAGTGAACTTGGCTGTTTTTTTTTGTTTTTTTATTTTATTATAGCGACAACAGAAATACACCATCAGTAAAAATTTCAAATGTCTTACTATCTATCACGGGTCATGAGATACGGCCTGGTGACTTAAAATTAACTTGTATAGTATCTTGATAGGGTCGCCCGCTGGATAGTGATCGTATTTTAAGCTCTCTCTTGCTTTTATTACAATGATTACATCATTGCAATAAAAGCCAGTTTTGTCCTGTCCTATTCTTATGAACTGAGGGATCCAAGCAACAAAATTCGAGAATATTTCGAACGCAAGCGTTGTATAAGTTACCATTTTTGAAAACTTTTCCTTCAAAAACTTAAATAAATAGTCCTAATTTTTTTCTATTATTTAGTGTCAGTTTTATTCACGTTTATGTTCACCATCGATTATGAGCGCGTTAAGATTTTAGTATGGAATCCTGTACAGCGCCCCTAGCGGTAACTACCAAGAACCATAAATCTCCAACAAATTCATAACGCGCTCATACGTTAGTGTAAATCTTACACACTACCCTGGACCGCATGTTAATAATCTGTTATTTCGTGGGTACTGTTCGATTTTTATTACGCAATATAATTTGAAATTATTGAAGCCCGATAAATTGTAACCGGCAAATGAGTGCAACTGATATATATTGTCATTAAAGAACCAATCACTTTTTATCGAATGACTTCATTGTAGTAATGAGAGTCACATTATGCCAACAGGTCACTGCACAATGGGCCCGCTTTGAAAAAAGATTGGATTTAAAATCATAAACATAAAATAGATTTGTATAGACAATTTATAATAAACATTGTGTATGACCAATTTTAACACAACTGTCCAAAAAAGGAGTGTATTGTTTTTTGGGGTTAATGTATGTATGTGAGTTTTTTTTTCATTATAACTTTGGAAAAAATAAACATTACAAAGGTTACATTATCCTGAGTAACAGTGGGTATATATTTATTTTTTAATATCCAATATGGCAGTTCTTTGACGTCGAAGTGAATGAGCATTTTGTTTTCCACGACATAATAAAACTTGTATATTTCACTTTTAGTTCGATTTAGACAGTCGTGGTTTTTTAATTTTTTAATTATTTATTTTTATTTTATTCCACTTAGTTTCCAGAATATGTATGTACTAGTATGTAAAGTACGAGTATATATTTTTGAAATGTACTCATAAGACTTTTAATTCGATGCCCATATTGTTATAATAGAAGAAATATTTTTCTCATTTTTTAAATGACATACACCTGCTATATTGGATATTAAAAAGAAATAGTATTTCCTTTTTTAAATTGAACCACTGTGCATCGTCGCCGCCGTATCCGCTCCAGCCGAGATGGAGGGTCACATGTCAGAAACACTTTATCATAGCAGTTGTACCTAAATATATAATTGTCACTCTGATTCCGTGTGATATTTGTTCGAATAGTTATTTTTTTTCAGTAGGCATGTGTGAATAGTTCATTGGCCTTTTTACAACTGCGAAAAAAAATCAGCGTTTGTTGAAGGTTATTTAAGTCATTAGAAGTACAAACAATTATTAAATGTAATATGTACGTAGGTCTTCGTCAACTTTTTTCTGAACTCTACGAAAGATAATAATGATAGTTAAGCTTCGGCCTAACTTTAATATGTCTAGTTTTTACATGTGCTATTTTCAACTGTTCTGTCCATATTTCTATACTAGTAAAAAGAATACCAGTGCCAATGGTCTTACTTTATCTCGTTCTCACACTAAGCTGGCTTGTTTTGACACTAACAACTTTACACTTCTTAGTGATATAAATTATTTATTTCAGAATATCTCATTTCTAAGTCTTTTCAAGACGTTTTGGTAAAGTTTCAACGTTTGTGTTTTCATTTGCAGTACCAGTGTTATGGGTATTATGTTAAATTATTTGGAAATAAAGAATGAGGATACCAAGTCCCTTGCTACTTTCGCATGTAAATAAGAAATTTTTATCCGCCAATTAACGGCGAAGTATAATGATAAAGTTACCACGATGTAAAACTGGGCAATAGAGTCTTTTGAACCATATAAATCTGCTGGTGAAGATGACATATTTCCAGCCCTACAGCAACAAGGTAGAGACATCCTCACACCTATTCTGGTAAAAATCTTTAGGACTAGTTACGCTTGGGGATATATACCAGAAAAATGGACAACGGTTCAAGTCCGGTTTATTCCCAAGGCTGGTATTATTCTATGATTATCCTTTAGACCAGAGGTACCTAACAATTTTTTCTCGTAGACCATTTTAAAAAATTGATTGGTTTCGGTGGACCCCCTGCTGCTACATTTTTACCATATTCCCAAAATTCGTCCAAAATTCAGTCCATAGTCCATTCGTTTCACGCCAACGTAGACCCACGTTGAATCTCTCGTGGACCCCTGGTGGGACTTAGGGAATCACTGCTTTAGACCAATAAGCCTAACCTTCTTTCTACCGAAAAGTATGGAAAAAGTCATTGACATATGCATAAGAGATTGACCCCTAAAAAATCGTCCTCAGCGTGCAAAACAACACGTATATCAAAAAGGCAAATCCACAGAAACCGCCTTACTTGAACTTACAGATATAGCAACGAAAGGGTTATTGAAGAAAAACAGATAGCTTCTTTGCGCCTTCCTAGACATCGCAGGAGCATTCGACAACGTTACCGATGAAACCTTATCCAAAGGAATGAGGGACGAAGGGATCGACAACTCAACGACCATATGGATCGAAGCAATGCTCCTATACAGAACAGTTAACGTAAGCCTGCACAGAACAACAAAAGATTTCAAAACCACTAGAGGTTGTCTTCGAGGCGGCGTCCTATCGCCACTGTTATGGTCCTTAGTGGTTGATCAATTGTTATTACAAGCCTCTGAAAAAGGCCTAGATATAGACGTGGTAGCTTGCGTCATTGGTCCATGTTAAAGCACTGTATCATCTATAATACAGAGATCTCTGAATATTATCGATAAATGGTGCAAAGAGAATAACCTATCGGTAAAACCGAATAAAACAACATTAGTCCCTTTTACCAGGAAGCGAACAAAAAAAAAATCTTAAAACGCTTATCTTAAAAGGGACTGTTATATCGTACTCCACGAAACTCACGTGGACGCGCCATATAAACAACATAACCAAAAAGGCTAAAACAGCCCTAGGTATATGCTGTCGAGTAACAGGGCAAAATGGGGAATAAATCCCAAATTAGCCCTATGGATGTACACCGCCATTGTAAGGCCCACCGTCGGCCTATATATGCCAGCGTCGTATGGTGGAAGAAAGCCACACAGGCTACAGTAATTAACCAACTGAATAGCTTGCAAAGAACAGCATGCCTCATGGCAACCGATGCCATGTCTACCACTCCAGGAGCCGCTCTAAATGCCCTGCTTAACTTACCGCCTCTGCATTTATTTATAATGAGAGGCGAAAGCTACAGGAAAGCAGGAAGCCTAGTCTGTTTGACACATGGCTCCAAAATGGGTCATAATGTAGGATGTGGAGTATATGGTGTAAGACCGAAATTCAACAAAAGTGAGAATCTTGGGATAAACGCTACTATTTTCCAGGCTGAAATATACGCAATTTTAAAATGTATGGAGCTAATCGCCAACAAAACTACAGAAATCAAACCATTTACATATACTCTGATAGTCAAGCAACAATCAGTGCCATACATTCGAGCGTGATAAAGTCGAAACTGGTAAAGGACTGTATTGACAAATTGAATGAACAGGGGCAAAAGAATAAAATTATTCTTATGGTATGGGTACCAGGACACTCGG